GTGTCTCTGACCTTTGATCCGTCCATGCTGGTCTCGGAGGACGCCCAGCTCCTCCTCCTCATCCCTCCACAGCTCCAGGAGGATCCTGGGAGCCGTCTGACCATCGGTGTCTCTCCAGCTCAGGATCTGAGAGCGAGTGTTTGGGTTGTCACAAAGGTCCAGCAGGGTGGCGAGCACGACGCCGTGGACACATCGAGGGCTTGCCTGATGGAAAAGGTCAGGTCAACTAGTCGATCCCAGAAAGGTCTAAATCTAACTGCTGCTTACTCTGAGTAGGTCCAGAAGAAGAGAAGCTCCTTGTTTAGCTAGGAGGTAATCCTCCGTGGCGTCAGAGCCGACCACGCACGACCTGGAGACACAGAACCACACCTTAGACCTTCAGATGGGTCAGACCTGTGGGAGAACCAGAGGAGATTGGACACATCAGCTGGGAGACCCTCAGAGAGAGATCATCACACATCCAGCCGATTAAAGATGGCCGCCCCAGCTGATGTCTCCATAGGGCTGATGTTTGGCTGCACCGACCACACGCAGTCCACGGTGGAGAGGAGGAGCCGGTTGTGACCCAAACCGCTGTAGAACTTCTCTGAGCCTCTCTTCAGGAAGTTCACCACCATCTCCACTCCCCCCGATCCAAACTGCTCCTGAACAGATGTTTACAGATGTTAGACCACGGGTCTCGTCTGAGGAGAAAGAAACGTGCTTCAGGTCTCAGAACAAACGTCATCCATCGCTTTGATCGAAATAAGAATAGAAATGAATAAAATATGAATAATTATCATTTTAAGGAAAATTTGAAGGAACAATTAAAATGTTTCTCCTTAAATTATTAAGTGACATGTTTTCCAGAATCAAGCTGAAGCACGTTTGTCTTCCTTCCCTCCCTCCAGGACCTTCTCGTGGAGAAGATTCCAACTTACAGCTTATCTTTGCTCTGAACGATCATTTTACTGCGGATGAAAGTTTTTGCGGACTAACCGACTTCAGCTGAAGATTCAAGCACTTAAAAAAAACACATGAAGGATTTTGAAGGATTTCAAGCACCCGAAGACGCCGGAAGAAGAAACAGCTGAAGCTTCTCCGTCTGGATGAAGATGAACGGGTGAGACGATCCTGGCTCTCAGCGTCTGCTCTGAGATGATCCCGGCAGCTGCGAGTGGATCGGGAGCAGGAAACCTGCTGCTCAGCCGGACTGAGGTGTGGATTGGGCTCTGACTCCGTTTCTTAGCAACCGTTAGGGTCTGAGACCAGGAAATCAGCTGATCAGCAAGATGTTCCGTCCTCATCCAGCTCCTCCCGATGGAGGAGAGCAGCTTCTCTTCTCTGACCCTTCATGACTGATGCAGATCCCACCCCTGTGCTGCGGCCTCTGGCCTCCATTAAAGATGCCCCAGTCACACCAGCACCCTTAAACTGGTTGTTCTGGTATTCCAGCCTCACCTTCGCTCGTGCGTCGCTCTCACACAGCTCTGAGAGGATCCACTGAATATCGGACATCATCTCCACGACGACAACATCCTGCTCCTCACACCCAGCTTGTAACTGGATCAACACCCCTGAAAGAAGACCCACGGTGCTCTGACAGACCAAACTAATCGCAGCCAGAGTTCAGAGACGTGTGACTGAGGTTACCCAGGAGCTGGTGGAAGGCTCTCTGCTCACACAGGTTCTGGTTCACAGAAGCTTCTCCCAGAGACGTCACGGCCCTCAGAGCTCTGATGCAACCTCTCAGCTTAGCCCGCGTTCTGCCTCCTCCGTTTCCATGGAAACCCTGACTGAAGCAATCACCTAAAACCAGAAGGCAAAATAAGTGATGAATCAGTGAAGCCCTTCTGGATGAAAGATAATAAAATTGTTAATAATTGATGAAGGTTAAATGTTTCTGAGGCTTTTTCAGCTCTGGGGTCTAAACACGACAAAAACCTTCAGCAGGAAATGGTGAAACGAAAGGCTCACCTGTTCCGACGCACCTGTCCAGCAGAAGCAGCAGCTGCGTGTTTCCGCGACAGAACACGTAGTCGTCCAGCAGGAGCGGGGCCAAGCAGGAGACGGCGCCCAGCGCCTGCAGCTGCAGCTCCTCCTGCTGCGCCGACGACCGCTCCTGGTCTCCGTCCGGATTCGCCAGGCTCAGCAGGTGGAGCATCACCTGTTCTTCCCTCAGAATCTAGAGGAAGAAAAGTCGACTCGTCACTTTGATGAACCTCTTGGATGAAAGAGCGGCGGGCGAGCGGGAGGAACCTGCAGCGCAGCCGGGTCTCTGCACAGGAAAACCAGCAGATTCAGCAGCAGCTGCCTCAGCTGCAGACCGTCGCTGCTGTAAGGTGGATTCCCTGAAACAGAAACAGGAATTCTGAATGGGAAAACCGCGTCATGTGACTTACGTTTAACATAAGACTGAGTTGAATAAAGAAAAAGCTTCCTCACGCTCTGGAAAGGTCAGCAAACCCACGAGCAGCTTGGCGAACAAGCTCTCCTGGAGGTTAGAGAGGTGCTTCAGACACAGAGGAGTAAAAGACTCACAGCTCATCTTTTATCCGACGCCGGTCACTCACGACGAGCACGGAGCTCGAAGCCTCAGCGATGAGAGTCGCAATCATGAGCAGCTGATTTCTGAGCTGGCGTTCCCAACGCTGGGAAGCCTTTTCCAGCAGGAACAAAAAGGATTCCTTTAGAGATCTGAGGAATGATCGGAGACACTTTTAGAGGCTTGTTTTCGGTGGCGACCGGTCTGAAGCAACACCTACAGGACACACTCCAAGCTGCTGAGCTGAGCGATGACCTCCTCCTTCATGCCTCCCTCCAGGAGGTTCCAGAGGATCTCCGAGGAGCAGAGAAGAACCTGGGCGGACGGATCGGGTTCATTCATGTGGAGGCAGATGCTCTCAGCGCCTCGTTCATCCAGGACCGAAGCGCAGATGTCATCTGTGGTAGTAAATCCATAAAAACATCCCATCAGAATCTCTCAGGTTCTCCTCCTCCATCCCTACAGGAGCGGGGAACACGTTCCTCACCAGAGGACCTGGAGAGGATCTGAAGCGTTTGGAGGAGCTGCAGCTTGAACGGTTGGTCCTCCAGACCGGACATGGAGAGGAGCAGAAGCTTGGGAACGTCGCTGTGCTTCAGAAGCTGCTGACGGTAACCTGGACGGGTCGGACGGAGACCTGTAGGGAAGTTAAAGGAGGTCATTAACGGAATTAAAACAGCAACAAACAACGAGGAAATATGGCAGAATGCTGTATAAATAAGCCTAAAACGAGTTAACGTGCTTGTCTAACAGAAAGAAATGCAAATGAAAGGATTTTCAAGACCTAAAAACTGAATCTCAAGCAGCGAAAGATGAATAAAAACTTGGTTTGGTTTCCTTGCTTTCCCTTTGGGAACGTTTTATTCATTAGGAAAGTCGGAGGAATCCGGGAATCCTCACACGTCTGAAAGCTGCAGCACGTTTGACGGATCTGCTGCTGCAGGAGAGGATTTCACTTCCTGCTCCTAAAAGAGGAAAAGCTTCGTACCGTCAGGTGGCTTGGGAGGAATCCCGGAGCAGAAGAACGACTGGACGGCTTCAACAACGCACCGCCTCACGTCAGGGTCTGGGATCCTCATCAGATAACCTGCAAACAGAAACATCCTCATCGTCTTCCAGGTTGATCCTTTACGGGTTTGGTTCAGCTAACTGAGCTGGGACACGACGAGAAGACCGTAACTTCCATAAGGAAGCTGTGACCAAAGTTAAAAGCAGTTACAGATGCTGGAGAGGAACTCTGCGGCCTCCTGAGCGAAGTGCTGCTCGTCTGTTGTTTTCTGCTGCAGGAAGGGAAGTCTGGGAAGAAACGGAGCGATGGTAAAAATCACACGACCTCGTCTGGACAGAAACTGTGAGGCTGAAAGGCTTCTGACCTGCAGATCTTCAGCGCTTCACACAGAAAGGATGCATATTCAGGGTGATCTGTCGCTTTCTCAGCGCAGAGGCTGAGGATCCTGGAGATGTCGGTCAGCTCCTTCAAAAGCTTGAGATACTTTAGGAAACTTAACCTTTTTCATGTGGAAGTTGGGAAAAAATAACTGAAGTGAAGCCACAGAATGACAGAACATCAGCAGCAAGGATACGAAACCCGCCGGGTTTCTGTTCAGAAGTTTCCTCAAGACAAAAAGATGCTTCTCCTTTAAGTTTGTCTTTAACAGGAACAGAATCAGCTGTTTGATTTATAAAGCACCCAGAAGGGGATCCAAAGTGCTGCTTTCCTTCAAATGGAGTTTTACTTACAGTCAAAGGATCCTCGAGCAGTCCAATCACTTTACTGAGGTCAAGTCTTTTATCGCGGACCTGCTGGAACAAATCTGAACGTCTTTCAATCATTTTCAACAGAAACCGTCCAAATGAAAGGTTCTAGTGCCGTCTTAAACTTGCTTAAACTTGTTTCTCCGTTCTCTAGTTGTTATTAATAGTAAGAGTCGCGTTATCAGTCCCACAACAGCTGTGTCATCTGCAAACATGTTGGTGTTTTCCAGTGAGACATGGTCCGGTGTGTAGAGGGGGAAAATAAAGGACTCAGTGCACAACCGAGCGGAGTTTGAAGCTTTAACGTTAATAAGTTTAAAGAGCAAGTCACCCCCAAACCAACCTATTTTTGCTGATAAACGACATGAACGAGTGTCTAATCGTGTTGCAGACACGTGTCGTCAATAATTTGGAACTTCAGTGCATTTTAGTTAAATTTTAAATATTCTGCCTAAAACTGTCAGTGTTGCGCCGTCGTCAGGTAAAAACTCTGCACTGTACTTGAATTGAAGAAGTATGCTATGATGTAAACGGGTACATTATGAGGTCACAATGCTATTGTAAGCCTACGTGTGTGTGTATTTGTTGGCGGCTCCGCCCTCTCGGGCTGCTAGGCAACAGCATTTGTTGCATTTTTCAAACAGGAAGTGGGAGTGAAGTAAGTCTCTTGTAGGGGGTGACTTGCTCTTTAAGAATATCCTTTCGTTCATCTGGGTCGCTTCGTCCCACGCATGCTAACCTAAAGCAAACAGGCTGCAGTCAGGACTCGAACTCGTGACCTTCTGGCTACGAGGCAACAGTGCTGCCACCTGCTACACTGTCCATTTTTACTTTAAAGAGCAAGTCCCCCCCTACCAGAGTCTTACTCCACTCCCACTTCCTGTTAGAAAAATGCAACAAATGCTGTTGCCTAGCAGCCCGAGAGGGCAGAGCCGCTAACAAATACACACACACACAGGTTGTTTCTCAATACTCAAGGACGCTAGTACATTCTTGTGTACTAGACAAGTACGTTCTGGCAAGGACACCAGAAAGTCTGTTCCACCGAGTACGGGAGGACGAGGACGGCATTTGGAACAGAACCTTACTCCGCTGCGTCCTGGCAACAAGTGCTGCTTCTTGCTACATTTAAAAAAACAACTTAACATAAAAATAAAGGTCTAGTTTGCTCCTTAAATAACAAAATTAAAACAAAAATGTATTACTTGTATTAGATTTGGCCCACCTTTGATCAAAACTATTAAAATACATGCATCTCAATCAATTCAATTCAAAAATACTTTATTAATCCCAGAGGGAAATTGATTGCTGTAGTAGCTCAGAATAATAATAATAATGATCAAGTCATCAAAGAGTTGTTGTATATCACAACGGCTGTTGGCAGGAAGGATCTCCAGTAGCGGTCAGTGTTGCAGCCAAACTGAAGAAGCCTCTGACTGAAGACACTCTTCCGTTGTCGGACAGTCTTGTGAAGAGAACGCTCAGGGTTGTCCATCATTTTCTTGAGTCTCTGGAGAATCCTTCTTTGCATTATCTCCTCCAGCGGTTCCGAAACTGCCGAAACTCTGGCTGAGTCCTTGAAAGGTCTTGGAGTTCCTCCATCTTGTTGGCCAGTGATGTCACATTGCCCATTATGATCGATGGAAGAGATGGTTTGAATTTCCTCTTTCTCTGTCTCCGTTTTGCTCCCGCTCTGCACCCACGCTTCTTGCGTTTTAGCTCATTTGGGATTTGTGGCTTCAGTTGAGGTATTATTTCAACCTTTCCAATGTTAATCAGCTGCTCCAGATTGTAAACCAGCTTGTTACCATGGTTACACATCATAACAAATGCTCAAAAAGTGAAAAAAGCTAAAGAATAGCAGTAAAAATCCTCCAAGCTTCACAGCACCAGAAAAAGAAAAGTAAAGTGTCCAAAAAAATACAGTTTTTCTTGAGAAACTAGAAGAAAAATATCCAAGAAAAGGCAAAACTTACAAATAGCCAACAGAGCTACTCCAACATGCAGCCGCCCAGAGCAGCGCAGTTCCAGAAAAAAAAATAAAGCTTATTTTTCATCAGAACTGACCTACGGTGCTTTTATTTTGATAGTGGGTTAGCTAATTAGCATTTTGAATGATTGTGATGAATAAAACCCAAACACACAGCAAAATTTACAGTTTACACACAATTATTTACAAAACCAGAAAACTTCAGATTATTTTATTTATATTTGTAATATAAAACATTACGGCTATTAGCTTTTTCCTCTGACGTTCGGAGTTTAATGGTTTGCAATGCAATGCATTGTGGGAAAATTGCTGTCCCAAGTCCGCAGAAGGATGCATTTATGCATCCTCGATGGAGCCAGAACACATCTGGGAACTTTGAACAAAGTTGCCGCTACGCAGGAACAGTCCTTGGGCCATCGTTGAAGACGTTTCACAAGGATGTGAGTACACAAGTACAGACAAGTATGCGTGTTGAGAAACGGCCACAGGCTCTCAACGACATTGTGACATCATAATGTACCAGCCAACGTTCTAGGGTACCTCTAAGCCAATAGCGATGGCAGATTTAAATTCAAATGCAGTGCAGAGTCATTACCTGAAGACAGCACAACACTGACAGTTTTAGGCAGAATATTTAAATTTGAACTAAGATGCACTAAAGTGCCAACTTATTGACCACACGTGTTTACAGCACGATTAGACACTCGTTTATATAGTTTATGAGCAAAAAAAAGTTGATTTGGGGGTGACTTGCTCTTTAATACTGCCACAGTTCTTTTGTATTATTTTATGTTTGTTTATTTACATAGTTCGCGTGTTTGTTTTATATTTATTGTCATTCTTAGTATTCCATAAATGTGTAGCTTTGTTAAGCTAACCTCTGAAAAACTAAACTAACTAGCTAGCTAAATGTAATGCTATCCAAATGAACTTGTTAGAAAGTTTAGGTATAAAACAAACACTTTACCTCCTGAATGTGCTGGGTCGGATGTGCTCCGATCCCAGGAATGTCCGACTTTAATCTGTGCACCATTCTGAAAGAGAAGGAAACTTTTTACCAAGTTAAACGTAGTTGGTTTATTTTTGTGCCCCAGAAAAGCCGCCTTCCCGTTTTAAACGATTTATTAGTTAAAACAAGCTAACAATGAAACTTTAAATCTATTTTCCCCGGTTTCAAATCATTAAGAAATAAAAAATCAACTCTGTGTCATCGTTGATTTCGTTAAAGCGCGTTGCTATAGTTACATGAAACATGGACGGGGAGCAGCGGAGTCCAAAAGTCATCAAGCCCAAACGCCCATTTCCTCTGAGAAACAGGAAGTGGTGTTGTTGCTACAGCGACGCATTGATTTTCTCCTCCTTCACAACAACAAAAAAGGAGACGAATTTGTTTGAACCGTTTATAAAAAAGCTTCAGACCCGAAATAAAGTTCACAAGTTACGCCACTGCCGCGCGATGCTGTCGGACGCAGGTCGGTGCTCATGGCTGCTACACGCTACATGCTAAGAGCTGGCTAATAGCTAAGAGCTGGCTTCCCTCTAATACCCAATATAATTTCACTATATTACATTTGTAAACCAGCCCGTTGTGCTTTAATAAGATTATTCACCCAACGTTTGCCTCTATTTGGTTCAAATCTGTTTATCTGTGTCAGTTTATCCTTTTATTGGTAATAAAATCAGATTTAACAGCGACAACAAAGGCCCGTTTTTGTTAGCGCTTCATTCTTCTGCCCCGTCTCGCTCCCCGTAGATTACTCCGGGAATGCCTCTGGGACTCGGAGAGCCAAGAAGAGGAGCTCCGAGGAGTCTCCGGGGGAGAGCCAGACCCCACGCATCTCCGGGAGGCAGACCAACGCCCGGGTGAAGCGCACCAACAACCCGCCACCTGGACAGGTGAGCTGATCTCCACCGCTTTGTTATGATGACACTTTCAATTAAAACAGTCTTCCAAATGAATTTGATTCTGCGCTGACTCATTACATCATAAAGTAGTCTCAGCGAACTAAAACAAAGGCATCAGAGTTATTTACAGTCATCACAGCAATAATACCTGTTTCCACTGCTAGGCTATGAGAAATTTACACAGCATTACCTGCCCTGCCTAACAGATGCTAACGCTAAGTGTTAATTGTCGTTTAACAATTATATTTGTATTTTGTATGTCAGTTAGGAGGTGCAGATTTTACACGTCTTGTTTCTTTTCGGACATCCAGATTAGTTTTTCCAGCATCAGTTTCCATGACGATTCCACCCAAAGGTGTCCTAGTAAAGGGCTGGATGTAAACAGGGGAAAACTTTGATGTCTTGTGTTTCAGAGTAAAAGAAAAGCCACGGACACCGAGGAAGAAGATGACCAGTCTGAGAAGAAGTACAGGAAGTGTGAGAAGGCCGGCTGCTCGGCCACGTACCCCGTTTGTTTCGCCAGTGCATCGGAAAGGTAACAAAACAGAAATAATAATAAATTATTATTTTTCAAGCATCACCGTTAAAGAGCAAGTGACCCCCTACCAGAGTATTACTCCACTTCCTGTTTTAAAAATGCAACAAGTGCTGTTGCCTAGCAGACAGAGAGGGCGGAGCCGCTAACAAATACACACACACAGGCTCACAACGACATTGTGACATCATATGGTACCAGCTAACGTCTTAGGGTACCTCTTAGCCAATAGCGATGGCAGATTTAAATTCAAATGCAGTGCAGAGTTTTCCCTGACGACAGTGCATCGCTGACAGTTTTAGGCAGAACATTTAAATTTTAACTAAGATGAACTAAAATGCCGAATTATTGACTACACACGTCTACAGCACGATCACACACGCATTTATATAGTTTATCAGCAAAAAAATGTTGATTTGGAGTGACTTGCTCTTTAACGGCAACATTTCTTCCTCATCAGGTGTGCAAAGAATGGCTACACGTCTCGCTGGTATCACCTGTCGTGTGGAGAACATTTCTGCAACGAGTGTTTCGATCATTACTACAGAAGGTGACTAGGAAGATACCGGCTGAGTAGGAGAGTTTTAGGTGTCACCATAACTCCTCTGTGTGTGTGTGTGTGTGTGTGTGCAGTCACAAAGACGGCTATGAGACGTTCGCTTCGTGGAAGAGAGTGTGGACCAGTAACGGGAAAAGTGAGCCCAGCCTGAAGGCCTTCATGGCAGACCAGCTGCTGCCCTACTGGGTCGGGACCGAAGCTTCTCCTCGTCCTCGTTGAGCGCTTCGACCGAGCTTCCTGTCAGACGTTAACGTTTACGTTCCCTGCAGGTTCAGTGCTCCAGACCGGACTGCAGGAAGTGGCGTCAGCTGACCAAAGAGATCCAGCTCACCACGGCTCTGGCAGCAACGTACCGCTGTGGCATGAAGTTGAGCAACATCAAAGTAAACACGAGTCATAAAATTCTCTCACTTATCAGGAGCTTTTACAGGTTCTGTAATGACGGTTTTATGTTTTCTACCCACAGATGGAAGGGCCCGACCAGTGCTCCCAACCAGAAGACCTGGTGAGCCGCTGCTAGGTTTTGATCACCCAACTAAGCGAGACAAAACGGTTAAATTTAAATATCTGATGCATCCAGCGTCTTTATGTTCTGGTTCTAAAAGTTTGTTTGTGATCCTCGATAAATATCCCACCTTTTCCTGGGCCACTTAGCTAAGCTAAGCGCTAATTCATGCTAGCCATGCCTCTGACCGGTATCGGTGCAGAGCAAGCTGGGCTCTCTGGGCTGACTTCATCTGTCCGATCCCTGCAGAGAGTGGCCGAGGTGACGGACAGCTGGTGGCACTCCATGCTGATTTTACCGCCGCTGCTGAAGGAGAGTCCGGCCGGCCCGTTCCTCGCTGCCTACTACCCCGACTGTGTGGGGATGAGCCCTTCGGGGTCCCTCAGCACTGCTTCTGTGACCGAGCTGAGGGCCGATCACTGCAGAGCCGTCCAGTCTCAGAGTAAGTCTGTGAGCGCAGGAGACCAGACACGCTGTGTTGGACCTGGTCCAGGGATGTCTGGTCGTAACCGGTACCGTTACCTTTCAGTTCCAGGCCTGTGTCCGTACTTCCAGCCCTTCTACCAGCCCAATGAATGCGGAAAAGCACTGTGTGTCCGGCCGGATATGATGGAACTGGATGAGCTTTACGAGTTTCCAGAGTTTTCCAGAGATCCCACCATGTACCTGGCTCTACGGAACCTCATCCTGGCCTCCTGGCATAAGAACTGCACGGTGAGGTCCAAACAAAAGCGTCCTGTGTTTTCCTAGAAACCAGAAAAATACACAGTCCAGTCCAGAACCCCAATCCTTTTGAGTTTTACCCCTGATCCAGTCCAGTCTTACCCCTGATCCAGTCCAGAACCCCAAAATTAGAGTTTTACCCCTGATCCAGTTCAGTTTTACCACTGATCCAGTCCAGTCTTACCCTTGATCCAGTCCAGTTTTACCCCGATCCAGTCCAGTCTTACCCCTGATCCAGTCCAGAACCCCAATCCTTTAGAGTTTTACCCCTGATCCAGTCCAGTTTTACCCCGATCCAGTCCAGTCTTACCGCTGATCCAGTCCAGTTTTACCCCTGATCCAGTCCAGAACCCCAAAATTAGAGTTTTACCCCTGATCCAGTTCAGTTTTACCACTGATCCAGTCCAGTCTTACCCTTGATCCAGTCCAGTTTTACCCCGATCCAGTCCAGTCTTACCCCTGATCCAGTCCAGAACCCCAATCCTTTAGAGTTTTACCCCTGATCCAATTCAGTTTTACCCATCGACATATAAATATTGGACAATGGGTTTCCATAGGGTCCAAAAACACATTTTTGAAGATAAATGGGAGGTGGCCACCACCGCCATTTTGACCGTGTCACAGGTTCCGTCAAGCCCAGACAATTCCACAAAAGGGAAGAGAGGTGGAACTGAGGGTGGGGCTGTAAGGCTGGGATCAACTGACGACACCCGGTCGAACTAGCTACAAGCTAACCCTGGCTAACTCAAAGCTAACGCTGAGGTGGGAGCTAAGCTAACGGAGGTAGCAACCTAGCTACAACCGGAGTTTGTGCACAACACCACCAGAGCTTCTGAGTCAGAGATACGCCGGGCTGACCGCTGGGTAAAACCGGGTGGAACACCTGGTCTCCCGAAAGCTGCTGAAAGCCGGCAGCCCGCGCAGCAGACAAGCGCCGCTGCGATCTGAGATGCGCAGAGCTGCCGCTGGGGAGAACCTGGTGAAACGGTTTCCATCCCAGAGCTCCATAAGCCGGCAGCCTGCGCAGCACACAGAAGCCGCGATCAGACAGAGATGCGCCGAGCTGCGGGGAGGGGAGAACCACAAGCCGATAGTGGGAACCCAGCTCCACCAACATGTTATATTTCAACCCATTTTCTAAAGTGCAGCATTATGTTAAATGCACTGGGGTTTACCCTATTACATTTAAATTTCATGGTTAAACAGTACATGTTAAAATCTAAGCTCAGCTCGGCAGTGACCTAAAATACATAAATATAATTTTACTTACCGAAAAAAATGAAGTGGAGACTCCTTGGACGCTCTATTAGTGCAATTAATGCCACAGCAAGTCATTTTGTCCAACAATTGCACAAAAATATCCAAACAAGAATACACAAACACAGAGACTCAAAATCCCGGAACAGTTTCCAGGCCACACCGAGGCTCTACTGAGGGCTTTCCCCGGAGCTAGCTCTGTGGTCACGTGGGTCTGATGCTCATTAATTATACAGAATTTTAGGCTTTTAATACACTTAAACAGAAGAGTGAGAAAAACATTCACCCCCCTCAGAGTTGTCATGAGTGTAAACTAGATCATTTAAACCAAAAACATGTTCTGGTACCAGGCTGTAAACATGTTTATTTCTGCTGTGAAATTGGTATTTTTAACATGGGAGTCAATGAGGATTTGCTCGCTTCTGACACCAGCCCCTAGTGGATGAGGGTGGAACTGCAATTTATTTCAATTTTTCACCCGCATTGTGGGGGCTTGGTTTTACCCCTGATCCAGTCCAGAACCCCTGATCCAGTCCAGAACCCCTGATCCAGTCCAGTTTTACCCCTGATCCAGTCCAGAACCCCTGATCCAGTCCAGAACCCCTGATCCAGTCTAGTTTTACCCCTGATCCAGTCCAGAATTCCTGATCCAGTCCAGAACCCCTGATCCAGTCCAGAACCCCTGATCCAGTCCAGTTTTACCCCTGATCCAGTCCAGAACCCCTGATCCAGTCCAGAACCCCTGATCCAGAACCCCTGATCCAGTCCAGAACCCCTGATTCAGTCCAGTTTTACCCCTGATCCAGTCCAGAACCCCTGATCCAGTCCAGAACCCCTGATCCAGTCCAGTTTTACCCCTGATCCAGTCCAGAACCCCTGATCCAGTCCAGAACCCCTGATCCAGTCTAGTTTTACCCCTGATCCAGTCCAATTTTGCCCCTGATCCTGTCCAGAACCCCTGATCCAGTCCAGTTTTACCCCGATCCAGTCCAGAACCCAAATCCTTTTGAGTTTTACCCCTGATCCAGTCCAGAACCCCTGATCCAGTCCAATTTTACCCCTGATCCAGTCCAGAACCCCTGATCCAGTCCAGTCTTACCCCTGATCCAGTCCAGAACCCCTTATCCAGTCCAGTTTTACCCCTGATCCAGTTCTGGATCAAGGGCTCTCTTCTCTTTCTGTTTTCTCTCCAGCAGACAGACGTTCCTGTAAATCTGCTAAACTGGTTCTGGATTAGCAGTTTTCCGGACCCTCTGAAGGACTTTAGCTGATTTTTCACTCATTTTGAATTTAAATGATTTATTGAAATGTTTTAATCGGGTTCTGGATCAGAACTTTCACTCTCTGTGTTGAAATACCGTAAGTTTGTCCTTTTGTTGCAGGAGGTTCTGACAGCAGAGAAATGTGCCGAGCACATCATCGTGCGTGGCCTGGTGCGTGTGCGCTGCGTGCAGGAGTTGGACCGGGTTCTGCACTTCATGACCCGGAAGGGTCTGATCAACACCGGGGTTCTGGCCGTGAAACGTCCGCTGCTGCCTGAAAGCTTCTGCTCAGTGAGCCTCTCCTCCTGCTCCACACGTTCCCTAAAGTCCACCACAGGATCCGGACTCACCTGTTTCTGTCTGTTCACGCAGAAGAACGTGATCGTCATCGGCGCCGGCGCCGCCGGACTGGCTGCTGCGCGACAGCTGCAGAACTTTGGCACTCAGGTGACACAAAACATTAAATATGAGCTTTCTCAGCTCTTTACCTTTGGCTGTTTCCGGATCAGAACTCCGTTTGTTTCTGCCTTTCAGGTTCTGGTCTTAGAGGCCCGGGAGAGGATCGGCGGCCGGGTTTGGGACGATGTTTCTCTGGGCGTGACCGTGGGTCGTGGTGCTCAGATCGTTAACGGCTGTGTGAACAACCCCATCGCCCTGATGTGTGAACAGGTTCGCCGGCTTTAAACCATTATGGAGTCAGCCTGGTTTGACGTTCCCAAATCTGTTTCCCAGCTCTGTTATCATTCCGGTTTGCTGCAGATGGGGATCCGGATGCACAAGCTGGGCGAACGCTGCGACCTGTTCCAGGAGGACGGGAAGGTCACCGACCCCGCCATCGACAAGCGCATGGACTTCCACTTCAACGCCATCCTGGACGTGGTGTCGGACTGGAGGAAGGACAAGTCGCAGGGCCAGGACTCGCCTCTAGGGGGTGCGGTTCTACAGAATCTCTTTTTTTAGCCACATTTACGGGTCGGGTTTGCAAAATCCCATTTTAACTTTTTCCAGGCTTGTTTTTCGGAGTCTTTTCATTAAACTCGCGCTTCTCGTTGGTTTTTAACCTTCCCGTTGTGTTAGTCGTGTCCGACGTTTGAAAGCGACGCTGAACCGTTTCGTTCTGTCCCACAGAAAAGGTCCGGGAAATAAAGAAGAACTTCCTGCAGGAATCTGGGATCCAGTTCAGTGAGCTGGAGGAAAAAGTTCTTCAGTTTCATCTCAGTAACCTGGAGTTTGCCTGCGGGAGCTCGTTGGACCAGGTCTGAAAAGGTTTCATCACCAACAGAAAACGGAGAGGTCAGAGCTGATCCTCTGGTACCGGTCCGAGGTTTGGTTCTGTGTGTTTCTGCAGGTTTCGGCCCGATCCTGGGACCACAACGAGTTCTTTGCCCAGTTCTCAGGAGATCACACCCTCCTCACCGAGGGCTACTCGCCTCTCCTCCGCAGGCTGGCCGAGGGCCTCGACATCCGCACCAACTGCCCGGTTAGTTTCCCACAGCCGCGGAACGGGAACCCGTTGGCTTACTTCAACACCTTTTTCCCGCTTCTTCCTTATCTGATTAGTTTCCATCACAGTTGTCATGTTTTTCTGTTCTTTATGGATTCCAGTCGTTTCACAGCGTCCGACGCCCTTTAGCCTAGCCGTTAGCCCTTCTGTCCAGACAGATCTAATCTATTACTGTGGAAGGGATGTCGGTGCTTCTGCTGTTCCTCCGTGTTTCCTACGTGCCGTTGTCTGCTTCCAGGTCCAGGCCGTCGACTACTCGGGTGACCTTGTTAAAGTGAGCTCCTCCGGCGGGTCCCAGTGGTCGGCTCACAGGGTAAAACCAGCTGTTTAGCCTCTGTCGTCCAGAAGGAGTTTAAACGTCAGACACGATCCTGGTTTCTGCTGCAGGTCCTCGTCAGCGTCCCGCTGACGCTGCTGCAGAAGAACGTCCTCCGCTTCACGCCGCCGCTCCCTGAGAGGAAGCTGAAGGCGATCCACAGCCTGGGAGCGGGAATCATAGAAAAGGTGTTTAGCACATCGCACCGTCCAACCTTCACCTCCGATGTATTGTTGTCGTTGCGTTTCCCTAAATCTGCATCAAACCGTCCTGCAGGTCGCTCTTCAGTTCCCGTACCGATTCTGGGACACGAAGGTCCAAAGTGCAGATTACTTTGGTCACATCCCTCCCGCTCCGGAGAAGAGAGGCATGTTCAGCATTTTCTACGACCTCGACCCTCAGGTTTGGCTCCAGCTGGTCGGTTAAATATGGTTGATGCTCAAATTTAGAGTAAACAAAACAAGAAAATCTGTTTATTAATAATCAGAAAATAAACAGATTCTTTAGTTATAATTGGCTGATTCTAACTTTACTTCCTGGTCACCTGACGACAGCCCCGGTTCCTAACCCCAACCCGGCTGATAGACGGGGTGAAAGCGTCTCCGGAACCGTGAGCTGCGACCCACGACCGGCGTGTGAATCTGCTTTTGTTTCCCTCTCAGGGAAAACGGGCGGTTCTGATGTCCATCGTCTCCGGTGAGGCTGTTCCTGCTGTCCGAGACCTGGAGGACAAACAGGTGGTGGACGAGTGCATGAAGGTCCTGCGGGAACTTTTCACAGAGCAGGTAGCTGCAGCTGTAGTCCGGGAACGTTGGGGTGGAGACGGCCTTCAGGAACAAACGTCCGAAGAGCCGGATCACTTCCTGTTTGACTAAATCAGCTGTTCTTTGTTCAGGAGGTCCCCGAGCCCTCCAGTTACTTTGTCACTCACTGGAACAAAGACCCGTGGTCCCAGATGTCCTACAGCTTTGTGAAGACGGGCGGGAGCGGGGAGGCCTACGACGTCCTGGCTGAAGACGTGCAGGGAAAAGTCTTCTTCGCTGGAGAGGTGACCGGGATTTTAGCAAAGGATTGTGGGAACTCGGCCGGTCTTTACTAAGTGTGACCAGTTCATGTGTAAACGGGTTTGGACCATTTCCTCTGCTCGTGTTCTGGTACCGGGACCCCAACAGATCCGTCTGGAGGGCTCCTGCTCCAGATTACAGGGAGGTGTGGAAGCTGGACCAGGGTTCTGGACCGGATCAGAAGTTCTGTGATTTTATTAACCGACTGAATCTTTCCTTGTCTTCAGGCCACAAACCGACACTTCCCCCAGACGGTGACCGGAGCCTACCTCAGCGGCGTCCGCGAGGCCAGTAAGATGGTTTCTCTGTAGGTTCCTCGCCTCCGAGCCCCAAACAGCACCAGCATCACCCGACCCACACACTGCTGATGGACCCAGCAGGTTCTCCAGAACTCGCTTCCACGTGTTCAACACAAACCTCTCAAGTGCTTTTTATTTCTATCGGAATCCCTCAAACTCATGTCTGCCGCTCCGAGTGGATTCAGGCTGGAAAACCGGGAAGTTTGAGCTCCCAGGCTTCGGATCACCATAAAGGGTCAGAGGTCATGCTGCCGTAGAGCAGAGAGGATAATCCGGCAGAGCTGTGGGACCGTGAGGATTAGAGCTGTAACTTGTGCTTTCTGTAAGACGACTGAAGACGACGGAGCACTTCTGATTTGAATGGCGTGTTTTACTAACGACGGAAACGTGAGACCCTCAGGGATGACATCAGGAACGTTCTCCCGCTCTCGGAACAATAAAGTTCCTAAAGTTTGAAGCTGAAGACGAACCGAACGTTTTCACGTCTCTGATTAATGTTGGCTAACCGGGATGTGTGTGTGTGTGTGTGTGTGTATTTATATTGTGTGTGTTTAATAAACTCAGCTGCACATGTATTTGTTGGCTGTGTTAACTTTTAAAATTCAGCTGGTTTCAGAGATGCTCTGACTCTGGAGTGGTTTCAGCCTTTAAAGTACATAAAATATTCACTTCATTTCTTCTTTAACTAAACTCATGAAAACCGAGAGGACCTAAGGTCAGATGTTGGTTTGTGGAGGTGAAGGAGGACCTGGTTTTAACCCAAAACTCCCTCGTTTCACACCACGGGGAAATTCAACCCAGCTAACTGATATTTCACCTCATTTTTGGTGATTGAAAATGTTTTTCTATGGTTTTAAATTAACATTCAAACAAATTAACTCCTCCCTGGGATTAACGAAGTCTTGAATTTAATTGAATGCACATATTTGCTGAGTCTAGAGCAGATTTATGCTAAAAGACATTGAATGAATGTCCTGGTACAGTGAAATTATATTATAGCACAACCGGTCCAAGAGCATCCAAACAACACGGATAACAGGACCAGGCAGGCTGTGGATGCAGCCACGTCACGGGCGGCGCTCCATGGGCAGAATAAGGGTCTCAGGAGGGGAAAAGGTCCAAAAAAAACCACCTGAGTACACAGAAGCACATATTTCAGACAACCACAACATAAGTGTAGGAGCCAAATATGTTGTTTCCTTTTCTTTGGTCTCGATGTCTTAATTGATATGTGGGCGTGTCATTGTTGTTACTGGTCGGAATAAAGGTAGTGATGTCATTGTTGGTGTCAGGCACTATTCCGGAAGGGCAAACAGGTTTTTGACCGCTGTGGCGTGAAGACGTTTGAATGGGAAAGTTAGCAATTACTCCTATCATTCACCTGGAATGCAATCAACATTAAACAAGCATTATCATAACAATTCCACGCTTAAGGCTGTTTTTTACGTAATTTAATCAGTCAACATCGGATCAACACAGAGCGTCAACCAGGTCCCGGTCTAGCAGCCTCAGGAGTTCGAGTACTGGACTTGACTTCTACAATAAGATATTGACATATTTATGATTTGTTGTATTACAGATGGCCAGTTTGTTGGGATTACACCTGAAGCACCTTTTCCTGTAGCTTTGCTGCTTTTTGCTCAGGGAGAAAAACCAAACGGTGAATAAAAATGTGACTAATGTGTGTCGTGACTTTTGGCAGATGTTTTCCACACAAACATTTAACCAACAGTGCTGTGAGGGACACAGATGCATCATCTGCCTCAGTCTAAAACTTTTAAACAATTAAAGGCAGAATTAAGCAACAATTTCATCATCAAAGCTTGTTAATACTTTCTCATCTCCATCCCTGAGGACAGCTATTATCGACATAATCACATTAAAATGTTGCGTTTGAGTTAGCCTGAACTTTAGCCCAGGTTCAGGTTATGTTACTTTTTTTATATTTTATTTTTTTTAAGCTCAAGTGCATTTTTGAGCCTACGTAAAAAATTTTTTTTACCCAGATTACATTTTCAATTTAGGCCATTCTAATTTCTTTTAGCCCAGGTTAATTTTTATTTAGTCCACGTAAAGTTTTATTTTTTGCTCAATAAAACTTTTGTTTATTGCAGGTTAGGGCTGGGCGATACGGCCTAAAATTAATATCACAATACATTGAGGATTTCACCTCGATAACGATAAATGGAAGATAACTATACAGGTATGCGCAGAAACAACAGTTGTCCACTAGATGGGGCTGTCACGTGTGTCGCGCTGAGTCAATTTTTACGTGACTCAAGGGAGTAAGGTCTAGCTGCAGCCCCGGCCAAACACGCCCCATGTACAAAACACGCGTGCATGTACGGAGAGGAGAACTCGCATGCGTGTTGCGATTGCAAGAGATGGAAATGACAGTTCAGGTAAAGACAGATTTATATTTTTACCACTTGCGAAGATTTTGTACTAGAAATTTGAACGTTTAAGACATAGTCTTAGTGTTAGTGTTTGGCCGGGGGGCGTGCTGCTATTGACTCGAGGTGGTACAGCTTCTGAAAACGGACACGAACGCTGCCAGCCTACACACATCTTTTCGTTTTTTTCTTATCGGATTTGTTGACGTGGGAAAAATGATTTCGATAGTCAGGAATTTCGATAATGACAATTTTTCGATTTATTGTCCAGCCCTAGTCCAGGTCAAGTTTTTTTCTTTAGCTCGGGTTAATTTTTTTAAACCCAGATTAAATGTAATGTTTTATTTTTTGTAATTTCGAGTTTGTTTGGTTTTTTTGTTGTTTTTTTTTTTTGCGCTGAAGGCGCTTGAATGACGTCATCAATACTCGCCGTCGCGCCTTCCCCCCCCCCCCCCCCCCCCGAAGCCAAACCAGGAAACAAAAGACAGGGTAAATCAGAGAAAGCGGGTAACTGAGCCGGTACCGTTTGTGTGGACCGGTGAAGCAGCGAGGATTAATAACGGGCTGTAAGTCTCGGATCCGCCGACGCGAGAGACCGACCGTGGAGGATCAGAATGCCCCGCCGCTCCGCTAACTCCGACACGGCGCGTCGGTCTCCAGGTAGCCGCAGCAGCACCGATGCTCTGGGTTTGGTGACCCCCTGATGTGCAGCCCTGATGGGGAGAGAAATCCATCAGCGGTGGGCAGAAATCAGGGCGAAGCTCCAGGTCCACACGTGTCATAAAGCTGATCTCCTTCTATCTGTTCACTAGTTTGTGTTTGATCATCTTAACTCAGACTTGTGAACCATTCAGGCGGATGGTAAAAGCCCCTAACTCAAGGGATGAGCCCGAGCTCTGCGATGTGGGACCCTGCTCCCGGTGGGCCGCTTACCTGCTCAGTGCATGCCAATCAACGATAATCCAAACTGGGTTTGGATCGGGTGTCAGATGGCAACATCAGAGTTCTTGTGAGGGTCTGAGATGCCCGTAGATATTTTGGTCACCCTGAGCTGCCGTACTCGCTGTAGGTGAGAACATCGCCTGCAGTAGCTAGAGACAGGACTTACGGCTCTCTAAAGGGAGTCGTTCAAAAGAATGGCTCTTCTACGTTTGTTTGCAATATTTAAAGAATCATAAAACCGACACTGGGATAAATGAGAGATTAAAGGTGTTTAATGGGTGGGGCGTCATTATCTCCTAAGCCACGCCCCTCTACTGCCAGACCCTACTGCCGAAAACCGAAAGGGAGTCAGTGGGTTCTGATCTCGTTTGTTATGTGCCGTGGAGATGATGCTCTTATTTTTCAACCAATCAGAGGACAGCTGCGGCACTGATGATGACGACTACACTCCGCTGTCGAAGCTTCCTGTGAAGTCACGCAGAAACAGGAAGGATTCGTGTGACAACGGTGACGTGTCCCCCAACTCTGAACCAAGCAAAGGTGCTTTCGAGAGGTTTTCCAGCTTTTCTTCTGCTCGCTTCTGTGCTTGTTTTTATTTTTGGATCCTCTTTCGTAGCTTCTGATGATTCCTCGGACGACGAGCCGCTGATAAAGAAGAAGAAAGTTTCCGCGGCAAAAAAACCCAAAAAGGAAACGAAATCTCCCAAATCCAGCAGCGGAAAACCCGCAAACACAGGTGAGTCTTTTCTAAGAGTGTCCCCGATGTTCCGCTCTGATTCCTGTTTGGTTTTTATTAGAAGTTTGTCTTCCCGTCAGATTCCAACTCCGACAACGAGCCTCTAATGAAAACCACCAAAGCTGCTTCTAAAGCCACGAAGAAGCAAAGCTCAGAGACGCCTAAAAGGTCCGCCAAGAGGAAGAAGAAAGGTGAGATTAAATCAGCCAGTCAGCTTTATGGAAAACCGACGTTCCTTTTACTTGTCGAACCGTTTCGCTCTAGCGGCGACCCCGGAGAAGGACGACAGCTCCGATGACGAACCTCTGAGCGAAACGGCCGAGAAGCTTCGGTCGAAGCGGAAAAGAAAAGCGTCCGGTGTTTCTCCTCGTAAAGCAGCAACTCCGACTCTCAAATCCCAGAGGAACGCAGCCAAGGAGAGCGGTGGGAATGAAACCACGAAGTCTGAGCAGCTTAAATGTTTTTTCTCTGGCGTTTTAACAGGAAATGCACCTTGTTGTTCTAGTGAATTATGCCGAGACGTCCAGCGAGCACAGCTCAGACGACGAGCAGCTGGTGGTGATGAAGAAGGAGGCGAGAGCTTCGTCCAACAGAAAACCAGCTGGGAAAAGATCCCTGAAGGGTAGGAATCTGCTTGTTATTGACCTACGCGCTCTTCAGACCACGAGTTGTTTTTAAAAGCTCCTCCTCCTCCTCCTCCTCAGATGCCAGCTCAGATGAAGACGACGTTCCTCTCGCAGACATCGTCAGCAGGAAGAAAGCAGAGAGGAAAACGGGCAGAGCCACGAAAAAGACAAAAGGTAGTTCCGACTGGAACGTCTGGAGCTGAAACGTCTTAAACCTGAGCCGCTGTGACATCTGTGTGACAGAAACCAGCGACGGAAGCTCTGAGGAAGAACCGCTGGCTCGTCTGGTGAGGAAGACTCCCGCAAACCAGCGAAGAAGACCCAAACGGGAGGCGTCGACTCAGAAGAAGAAAACCACTCCTAAAAGGTCCAGAAAGAAGCCGGAGGCAGGTAAAGACCCGGGTTGGTGTTTACAACCCAAACCAGGAGGAAGCCGGTTTTCCCGTATCCGATCAGAACCCAGAGAAAACCCAATCTTCTCTTATTCCAGCGCCGGAAAAAAGAAAGTCCAGTCGACTTTAGAAACTGAACCAGAAACCTGAAGATGCTCTCCTCTCTTCTATTTTCCATGAGTTTTCCGTGGAGCCAGGTCCAGGAAGGAAACCCAGATCTTTCCCTCTAGCTCTAAGAATCCGGTTCTCCTCCCAGTATCTGGGAATACCAGGAGGAGGAATCCTAATAAGAGCCGGCTCAGCTGACTTCTCTAGCCTGCTGATCCTCCCCGTTCCTGATAACGGACTCGCGTTAATTATCTCGCTCGGATTCCTGCTAGTTTGTGTTTTTAACAAATTGCGGAGCAGATGCCGACCAACTCGGGTGCAATTCCCGCCTCGCTCCCGGTGGCCGCCCACTTAAATGCCCCACTGGGTTTGGAATATTTCTGAGTGTGAGTGGGATGTTTGTCCTGGTGAGGGACGGGCCAGCACGCCCCATCCCCGCTGTTTCATGTGCTGCCGCTCCGGGATTCCTGAATAAACCCGTTATTGGAGCCAGAAACTAGAAAATATTCCGCCTGATCCGGGAAATGTGATGCAGCTAAAAAAAATCGCACTAAAATAGTTTTTGCACGTAAAATTTTGACGTAATAGGAATTTTTGTGGAATTCTCTTTCACTGGAATGTTTTCCCCCAGATGAATCGAGCCACGCTTCCGAAGACGAATCTGCGAGCAGGATGTGGGAACATCCCGAGGTGACCAAACGGGTGCGGATCGTACTGAAGAGGTGTGACGTCAAAGCCTCAACAGGAAGTCCGAAGAAGTCCAGTAACGGTACGGAGCTGGGAGCCGCTGTTGGGGCTGGGGTCTGATGTGTAGTCTGACAGAACCTGTGTTCCTCCCAGGAGAACCGGCCAACGGGAACACCAACGGTTCCTCGGATGAAGAGTAAAGTTCTAATTCCTGGAAATGGATGATCTGAAGTTCATCACCGTCTTTTGTAGAGCTCCCACCAGGCCCGGATTTCCAACCCAAGCCAGAAATGACCCAGAAGACTTGAACCCCGACCCGGCCCGGCAGAACCCGAGTGTTTATTTGTTTATTCTATTGATTCCCGATCAGCGCGGCGGCGTTTGACTCCCGTTGCAGGATCGTTCCTCTTTCAGCCGTCAGCGATGTTCTAAATAAGATCACCGACGACGCCAGAAAGGCTTCCTCCCTCCTCGTCGGGTTTAAGCCGGGAGTTCTGGTCTTTTATATTCCCAGTTTTAATTCCGTTCTTAGCAGGAATAGTTTTAGATCCTAAAAGCTGTTTTTGTTTGTTTCCGTCTGTTGGTGTGAAACTGGTTTTTATTTGCTGTGAGCAACTTTCTCTGCATGTAGCTGTGAAGGTCTGTGAGTTTAACCTTTGTGACTGTGTTTAACCTGAAGTAAACAACACACCTGTCTGTAACACACACACACACACACACACACACGCACACACACACACACACACACACACACACACACACACACACACTCGCCAAAATACGCAGAGGGATTCAAAAGTTTTAATATTGGTAATAAAGTTTTGGTATCTTCTTGAAAAAGTTTCCAACTTTTTTATTTCTTAGGATTTGAAATAAGAATTAGCTTTTGAGGATTTTTATTATTAAAATGATATTTTATTTATTTATTTATTTCTGGAGCAAAACTAAAACGAACAAGGTGCTGCACACAGATGATCCGGAACATAAAACCAAACAGTCGAACTCTGAGACGTTACAAGAATAAAACCAGAGCGGTGACTCTCTTTGTGACCAGGTTAGTTAGTTTAGTTTAGTTAGTTGAGTATTAAAAGCGAACCTCGCTAACCTGGTTCGGTCCAGACCCAGTGGGATGCAGGAACTCCCGAATCCACCGGAATCATGATTAAAAACCTAAAACTGTTGCTTTAGCGACATCTAGTGGTGACATCAGGAACTCGGTTTCCTCATTTAAATAATAAAATAAAAACGTTAATAAGTTCTTCTCAGACTGAAATATTCATTAAGAGTAGCGTAAACACGTCATCTTTATAACAGTATAAACGTTTATTACAGATGTTTCCTCAAAAATGAAGAAAACAACCGGAAACGTTTCAGATTTCCTAAACTGCACTCACTTTGTTTTGTTTCATAACTTTTTATGTTTTAGGAATAATTTTATTGACTTTATTTTTCTTTTATATTTATTTATTTTACATTTATTTTGTGTGTTTTAAATGTTTCACATTTTAACAAAAACATTCTTTAGTGTGACAATTTTATGTTTAATGTTCATGTCAAAATAAATGATTATGAAGCGTTGTTATAATATATTTTATTTATTATTTGTTGATTTTGTAAAAGAGTGTAAATGATTTTGGTTTATTTGTTCATTTAATTTTTTACCTTTCTGTTTAATTTATTTAGGCTATTCAATAATTTAAAAAAGTTACCTTATTTTGCAACGTCAGAAGCGGAAGTGACGTCATGAGTTTCGGCTCTAGAAGAAGGCGCAGAAATGAATTTATGAAGTAGAAGTATCGGATCAGAAGGTGAGTTTCAGTCTTTTTCTGTTTGATTGTTTCAGATTCAGTCCGACAACCTCACCTGTAAAGGTGATTGTGACGTCACAACACCGTGGCGGTCAGCTGATTTTATTAAATCACGTCGGGACAGTTTCGGTCTCAGTTCGTGTTTATTTCAGGTTTTTCTGACTTATTGTTACTTTCTGAGAAGTTTTTGTTGCTAGAAGTGAACATAGAAAAACACCCGATCCACTTTCGCTCTGACGTTTACTGCAGGTCAAAGGTCAAGCCCAAAAAGTTGCGTTAGAACCTAGAACTGAAATAATCTGGATGTTGTGGGCTTAGATACGCATTATTAGAATTCTGAAAATAGTTTTAGAAGTGAAGATTTTCTAAGTCAAGATTCAAACTGCAGATTATCCTGAAAATTGAGATTAACAGTCTGACAGATGAAGTTTCGTCGACCCGGCGTGTCCTCCAACCGCCTTTGACCTTAGAACACAGCAGCTGTTGCTGATGCTTCTGTGTCATTCCCAGATGGAATTCCAGGTGGAAGCCACTGTCTGTCTGGACAGAGTTCCTGATGAAGAGGAGGTGCTGAGACTTCTCAGGAGCTACGGCTTTCACATGTGGTATCTGAACAGGGACGAGGTCCGCTTTCGAGGATCTCTTCAGAACTTCAAAGCTGTGAAGGCGCGTGTGGAGGAGGCCGATGAGGCTAGAGCGAGGCCATCCTCACACGTTCCCGCAGTTGTCTCTGGAGCAGTTTCCAGCTACTACAAGTCTTCACCGTACCCTTCTGTATCAGGTCCAGCCTCTCCGGGCTACGGGATCTCCCCGCCTCCGGACCTCCGGGCGTCTGGAGGAGAGACGATTGTCGTTGATGCAGATGTCTTCAGATACGCCGACCAGTTGAGGAGGAAAGACCTCGAGAACATCCTGATCTGCCACAATGTTAAAATGAAGAAGGAGGAAGGTGGAGACAGCATCAGCATCACACTATGGGGGAGGAGCCGCAGGACCGCGGCCCACAAGCTCCAGAATCTCCTGGAGGACCTAAACAAATCTCTTAGGACTCAGGAAGTCCCTCTGAAGAACCTGAACCGTCATGGACAAGCTCTGTTGCAGACCATCAGAGACAGCAGAAACATCTCCGGGTCGGTTCTGGTTGTTGAGACTGATGACCGACTCCACCTCATCGGCCCGTCCAAAGACAGCTACGAGCTGAAGCAAGGCCTGCTGGGAGAGCCAGTCGACCAATCAGGGAGCAGAAGAAGGACCAGTGATAAAACACCCAGAGGGAGGAGGAGCAGCTCTCTGCCACCAACCAATAAAAGGTCAGGAGGAGTCGCTGGTTTCCCGTTGATGGATAAAAACCAGACAGGAGGTTCCGTTCGGAGCCGAGATCCAAAACGAAGCTTCTCCAATATCGAAGAAAAGAAACTGACTGAACGATCTAACGAGAAAAAGAATCTTGTATTAAGGTTCAAACAGCTGTTTAAAAAATCACCGCGGGAAGCGAAGCAGTAGGTTCCTGATCTTTGGCTCACTTGTAAGGGAACAGGTTTAGAATCAACTTGTTCATAAAACATTTTTATTTCTAAGATCATTTTTCTCACATTCTGCTTTATTTTTTGAGCTTTTTTAATGGAATTTCGGCTTTCCAAAGGATAATCCCACCTGAGTCACTTTAAACAGAGGCGGCAGAATGAAGGCAAAACACTGGGGCAATCAAATGTTTGTCAAATAACAAACTGCTTGCACTAACTTCCTGCTTGGACCTCAAGGCTCCCGCAGCAGCAGCTCTTCTCTGCTCTTGTAGCAGTGCTGTGTGTCCATGTCTGCTGTTTAAATAGAAGTTTACATTTTTCCTGTTTAGATGTGTTTTAAATCTTCGTTTACCATCGTGAAAATCTCACATCAAACCACTTCTGGCCTTAAAGCGTTCAGATGGACCATCAGGATTAGAACCTTCATCACAAGCCTGCCATCAGGGCTGTCCCAAGCCTTTGTGGGACCCTACGCAGGCTTCCCTTTGGGGCCCCCCCATACCAACAAGTCAACACCAAGAGAGATCGTTCCTAGGCTGTACCATATGTGTAACCTGCCCACTATCATTAGCGTCTTTTGTAATTAATTTCCATCACACGGGTGTTATTGATTTTAACTTACTGGAGCAGCAAACTGACAAAAAGGCTCTAAATAATTTGCATTTCAAAATGTTATTTAAGTGTTATCTATTAATTCAACTATTTGAAAGAAACGTCATCAGACAAACGCCAAATTTACAGCAAAAAATGTAAGTGTGTTCTTAAAATATGAAAAGTGTAAAATGTGTTGCACTACAAAATAAACTAAATGGCACTACAGAAAAAATATTGATAATTAGTTTCTTCATGTGAAATAATACTTAGTTTGTATTATTTAAAGTTATTAAAACAAATTTTCCTCAAGCCAACTTGGTGCTCTTGTGGGCCCCCTGGTGGCGTGGGAGCGCGCGGGGTTCGGGGGCCACAAAGAGGGGGCCTGCGGGCCGCTTGTTGGACCACTGTTCTAATCTCTCTACTGAAGAGCTCATTTACGCCCCCTGCTGGTGTAAATATGCTACTGCAGTCTCCTTAAAACGTGAACTTTGTTATCACTGAGTTAAATAATTATGATTTAAATATTTAATAAATTACCCTAACTACCAATATTCTCCCTAATCAATCATTCCTGATTTATTTTAGTGTTTATTCATAGTTTATATAAATGTTGGAGGGCTTAACTAAAACACGAGTCACTGAAAGTTGTTTCTGTGTTAATGAATGCAATAAATCCATGATTGTGTCTGATGTTGGTGCCGCAACACCTGAACAGAAACATCCTGATGGAAACTGAAACCGATGAGAGGAAGTGTGAGGAGGAGGAGGAGGAAGTCAGCGAGAGGAAGTTTGGATGTGATGAGGATCTGAAAGGCCGTTGAAGTCAAAGGAACGTCTGAGTTGATTGTCGTGGATTTACCGCAAATTTTAACTTTAAGTTTCTAAACTCGAGCTGAAAGGAGTCGGGAAGCTGATGATGGTTCTGCAGGAGGTAGGTGTTCTCCAGTCACTTCACCAATTCAGATGATTTAATCTGGCTTAGTTTGGGTCTGTTCAGTTTAACCCATCCGGTTTATGTTCAGAGCCACAAACCGGTTATTAGTTTCACCTCTCAGAACTCATCATCTGTTGCTTTAACTTATCAACCCAAACCGGTTCAGTCTGGTTGCATTTAGCTGCATAAAACACAGATTTATTTCAGATTATTTTGTTTTTTTAGTAAGAATTTTACTAACAACTGGAAGTATGAGTAGAATATGTGTAAAAGTTTGTAATCATTGACAATAAAGTTGATTCTGATGATGTTTTTTTAGAAATGGATTTTGGGTTAGTCTATTTGCGTCCACCAGGGGGCGCTGTGACCCGCTTCCATGCTTTCATTATTTTTAATAGATAAATAATAAATGAAACGTCATAAAGTTAAACAAATAAAGTGTAATATATATATATAGCGGTCAACGGGCAACTTGGCGGGGTACACCCTGGACAGAGAGCCAGTCCATCGCAGGGCAACACAGAGACACACAGGACAAACAATCACACACACACACACACACACACACACCATAGACAGACCAGTTAACCTAACAGTCGTGTTTTTGGACTGTGGGAGGAAGCCAGAGCACCCGGAGAGAACCCACCATGCACAGGGAGAACATGCTAACTCCATGCAGAAAGATCCCAGGCTGGGAAGCGAACCCAGGACCTTCTCGCTGCAAGGCAACCGCTATAACCACTGTGCCACTGCGCAGCCCGTTATGAGAACATTTGGTGTTTAATCCTTCAACTCCCACACAATAAATGAGCATTTATTTATTTGAGTCATTTGAAGGAATAAGGATTATAATTTATTATGAGATGATAATTTTGAATTCAAGCATCTGCTTTATTTAAAATAAATTCAAATCAAAGATGCTTTATCAATCCCAGAGGGAAATTAGAGTTTCAGTACACACAATTCTGAGATCAGACATACATACATAGACACATGACAAGAATTGGTGACTGTGGTCATTCGCAACCCGAGTAGCGCTACCTTAATAGAGATCAGAGGGTTACATGAGGATTGGTTCAGGTGGAGGGAAAAAGGCACTTCAGAGTTACCCTCCACAGGGAGGGCAGCTTTGCTCTGCAAAAAACACCTCAAACAGAAATGCAACAGACTTCAGACATTACACAACATAAGTGTCCACTAGGTGGGGAGGTGGGTTCGAGACTCCACACATCAGTGCATGTAGCCGCATGGAGCAGCGCTCGTCACCTCCGTTTGGAGAGGGGAGGGAGATAATGGGTTAGAGAGCACAGTGACTCCTGGAAACGATTCAACTGCCTTCACCGGTCGCAGTCCCGCTCAGGCTGGGATAGGGATAGAGTTACCATGGCGACGGCAGCATTCCACATTTCTTCTGAGGGGGTAGTTTTCACTTCAGCCTCACAGGCTCAAGGGCACCAGATTCAGATAAGAACCTGTTTTGGGTACAGACAGAGATAATTTCCGCTCTGTCTTAGTGTTCTGTTGGTCTCCAACCCCTCCAGGTCCAATAATAGCATAATTAATCTATCCCAACCGTGCTGTCCCATCAACTCGCTCCTTGATCGAATCCACCTTCTGTGCCAGAGTCCGAATCTCAGCCTAAGTTCCAAGCTTACGACTCATCTAGACAATTATATGAGTTTGTGCGTTCACAGCGCGGTATAATCCATCCCTGAGCTCCGGGATTGAGCCAATATTCCTCGACAGCTCGTAAATTTTCTGGTAAGCCAGGTAACCGCTCAGGCCAACAGCAGGAATCCCGACATCAACACAACGAATATCCAGACGTCTTCAGAATCCTCTACAGACACCTGAGAGAGGCAGATCAGGTTCCGCTGTTTCCAGGAGTCCATGATATACCCAGCTGGCTCTGTCCCAGAGGGGCATCCGGGAGCCCCTTCTCCCGTTCTCATCGTTGAAATGATTTTGTCAATCGCGTTGAGAGACCAACTAGCCAGGTCCATTTTTAATCATTTCCAGTTTCCAGAAAATATGCTGAAAGAGCAGAGCACAGGCAGACAGGACTGAGAGCCTTGGGAGGAGGAGGAGGGAGGGGAGAAAAAACAGCGTCTGTACCCTAACCCTAACCCTTTCCATCTATTAAATTCCAGAATGATATTCTAATCAATATTCAATAATAAGTAAACAACATTGGCCCGTTGCACCTGAAGATCCTCCACCAGGGGGCAGCAGACGTATTCAGGGCTGCATGTGGCGGGTTTGTGGTGAAGGTTCTGATCCTGATGCTCCTTCTGGAGGCTTTAGGGCCAGAAGGGACTAACGTTCTTTACCAGGTGGTTTACCCACAGTTTAAAGATGAAACATGTTTCTCTGGATTAAAGTTGAACCTAAAGTAAAAGAATCAGCTGTAGGACCTCCCAGCTGAGGAAAGGCTGAGAAGCGAGGACAAAGTTCAGATTGAGTGACGTGCAGACGAGTGCTGAGGAGGCCTTGTGGCAGGAAGAGAGCTGGTGGAGGATGCAGAAGTGGTGTGAGCGTTTAAAGATAAACTCCAGCTATTTATACGGAGGCTGAGTGACAGGATGACGTGCTGCAGCTTGTAGACCGCAGCTCTGGGTGAGTTTGGTAAGCCTGGGCTGCAGCAGAGGTCACGCCCACAGCAGCGTCTGAGCTCAGACTTCTTCTTCTTCTTCCTCCTCGAGCCGTTTCTGTTTCCCTCGGCCGCCCTGTCTTTTGTTTCTGTGTGTTTGCTGAGCGCAGGCAGGGATGGCGGAGCTGGAGGGTTTGGAGTTTGGGAAGTCTGACTTTGTCCTGCTGGATGAGGTCACCATGGAGCAGTTCATGGACAACTTGAAGTTAAGGTAAGAACTGAGGTCAAAGGTTACCTGAAAAGATCAGAAAAATGTTCCCGTTCTTCTTTGAGTTCCTGCGTACGGTCGGTCACATCCTCCACGATGAAGATAAACATCCAAACCGTCACAAACAAATACTTTGACTCTTGAGGTTGAGGGAGGACTCTCGAGTCAGCTCAGCCTCATCGTTCCCGCTCAGCCTCATCGTTCCCGCTCAGCCTCATCGTTCCCGCTCGGACTCAGATGTCCTCGTCAGATCAGACAAACTTTGTCTGCAGTTGTTGAAGCCAGAGACAGGAGCTGCCACGATGGTTCTGCTCTCAGGTGTTCAGATTTCAGATCACTCTCACTTCCTCTGAGTTGTCTCGGCTATCAGACACGTCACACATTGTCCTGGAGCTGGCCGGAGCCACAAGAACTCCCAAACCAGGTGATGTGATGCAGAGGAGCTCATCCTGCTCCGCTGATGCCTCTAAATACATTTTGCTCTGACTTTCTCTCCAGCCTGATCAGACTCGCCCGGTGTTGAGCACGGAAACACGTGCACTCACCTCCTGCTGCAGCGGGGACCTCATTCCCCCGGAGTCCGACTCCAGAAGCCTGATTGGACAGAAGTTTCTGACTTGGACGGAGACGATCTGTTGAAATCAGACGTGAATGTTCTCCACTTGTTGTTTCAGAAGGCGGACACGACTCTCGGAGGGGTTAGTGGAATAGTTCCGACACGTCAGAGGTAAAGTCCCAGAGATTCTCAAAGGAGTTCCCCAAATGTCTCCAAATGAAACCCAGAAGCTGTCTGAAGACATGCAAGACAGCTTTGGGAGGACTTGGAGACCAAATCACAAACAAACAAAGACATTTTGTGACTCAGTTGCAAAAAGAAAATGTAAACAACTTTGTTTGTAATGACATAATTTTCTCATCGTGACTGGATTATAGAAACTTGTAGCTGATGTGTGTACGGAGTCAGTGCGACTGCAGCAGAACGATCCGAACGGAAATCATCCTGATGATGGGATGGAAGAACAGCACCGGAATCCTAATGACCAGGTTGGAGTTGAAGAACGTCCTCTTTAACGAGATCCAGACGTCAACATCCCATAAAGACGTGCTGTCTCCGCAGGCTGCCACCGTAGGCCCCGCCCACTCACCTGCACACATTCTGGTTGTTTCGAAAGCATCAAGTAACTTATTACTACTGTTAGGAGAGTTAATAATTGATGGTTCAAGGAGGCGGGGCTTAAAACTGCAGCCAGCCACTAGGGGGTGTATTGGTTTGATAGTTTTATGAATGTGGCCAATGGGTTTAGGGCCCAGTGGGGTCCTGTTCTGGCCTACCGCTGCTCTAACCCACCTGATCCCGGTCCTCAGCATGTCTGCAGGTGCATCAGAAACCTGAATTACCTGTAGATTTATGTCAGGTGTGTTGAAGCAGAACAACATCTGAAACAGGTGAATTTTCCCCTCCTGATGCAGGAAGATCAGTGGCCCAGATCTGGTTTATGCTGCTGGTAACATGAAGCCTGTGAGTTAAACAGGTTGTTTTTTTATCAGAACCAAAGCTTTACTTCAAAAACGTGTCCAGGTAAAAAAAAAAAAACACCTGCAGACAAATCAGTCCTGGCTGATTTCTGTGGGACGCATGCATTTTTACTGTAAATCCAAGCTGTCTGAGTGAGTCTTGGGTCTTTCAACAGGAAGGTGACCCCTGACACCGTGTTCCTACAGCTGATGCTCAGACGTGCCACACACATCTCACGTAGTTTGTAATTTATCTGCTCCATCAGGCCTGTGGCATCTACGTTTACTCCTCCCAGAACAAAAAAGAGAGTTGCACGGGGACCACACCCTTCAAACCACATGTTTCATTTCCTGTTCTCAGTGAACAACCTCTTGTGTCACTTCCTGTCATCTCTGCATGACATCAAGGTGTGAGACAGCCTCTGAAAACTTCAGATCGGGTTTTTTTTTAGTGGTTTGAGAGTCATGTGAGACGTGGGCGTGCTGAAGCTGGGGTGTGACCCGAGGACAGCATATTCATGATAAAAGACGTGGAAGCTTCCGGTGGAACAACAGCAGCTGTGTGATGGTGTGTTTTTTCTGAGCAGGTTTGAGAAGGGCCGGATCTACACCTACATCGGGGAGGTGGTCGTCTCTGTTAACCCGTACAGAGAGATGGACATTTATGGCAAAGATACCATAGATGCATACCGAGGCCGGGAGCTGTACGAGAACCCTCCTCACCTGTACGCCGTGTCTGATGCCGCTTATAAGGCCATGAAAAGACGAGCCAAAGACACCTGCATCGTCATCTCAGGTGTGTCTAACACATTTGCAACATTGCATGGATTGTATACTCATTATTAGTGATGATTATCTGTGGAGCCACGTGATACTGTGCGAAGATCAAAGGATTTTAACATATAACCTGCTAAAGAGCAAAATAATGTTTGTGAACCCTATAAAACCACCAAGTAGTTACGGGTCGCGGGGGCAGCAGAGAGGCCCAGACTTCCCTCTCCCCAGCCGCTTAGCCCAGTCCCTCCAGGGGAATCCCAAGGCATTCCCTGGCCAGCTGAGAGACATTGTCCCTCCAGTGTGTCCTGGGTCTACCCTTAGGTCTCCTTCTGGTTGGACGTGCCTGGAAAACCTTCCCAGGGAGGCGTCCAGGAGGCATCCGAGCTGCAAGAGGAACTCCACTTCCTTTAAAGAGCAAGTCACCCCCAAATCAACTTTTTTTTCTGATAAACTATATAAATGTGTGTCTAATCGTGCTGCAGACATGTGTCATGTGACACGTCAATAGTTTTTTACTTTAGTGCATTCTAGTAAAAATTTTAATTTTCTGCCTGAAACTGTCAACGATGCGTCGTCAGGTAAAAACTCTGCACTGCATTTGAATTTAAATCTGCCATCGCTATTGGCTAAGAGTAGGGCTGGGGGTAAACGATTATTTTTAAAACGATTATTCTGACGATTATTTTATCGAATAGTCGACTATTCTAATGACTATTTAGAAAATTAATCTAATGATTATTTTTCTATTGCACAATTAACAAAAACCAGAAAATCTCAAATAAATTCCTCAAAAAAATTGATAAATTCTTACTGTAAGAGAATAAACACTACAGGCCTTCCATTTTGTATAACACTGCTTTTATTGTGTTGCTTGGTTATGTTCTGGTGACGTGTAGAACTTGGGAGTGCAGGCTGCTGCCTGAGAAGTGGTAGAAGATGGAGTGTCTCCATGCTGCTTTGTTTTGGTCACTTATGTGCGTGAGGCGAGTGGTGTTACGGGTTAAACCAAACTCAGGTGATATTTTACACTAAACCGAAAACCCACAACACTCTAAATGTAATAAAAGGGAGATCTACACCACAAAAAAGATGAACTCTAAACCAAAACGTAACAGCTTATCCCAACGCAAGAAGCTGTTAGCGAAGATGCTAACAGTAGCTTTACCAACGTTAAGTTCAAGTTACCAAGTTTAAATAAACCAAGAACACCCGGCAGCAAACAGACCAGCACGGAGGAGAGACTGCTACCACCAAAACAGCTCTCCTCATGTCTGAAAGAAGCTCCTTAATGAAGGGAGAAACGCTCCCGGTGATTTTCTACATCTGCGATAGACACGAAGCAGCGCATCTGACCCCGGAAGTTATTGTCCGTTGCCGGGAGACGAAGGGGCGAAACAGGAAAATAATCTAGTAGCGGACGGACATTGTTCCGGGTCTTCGGTATTTGGCGGAGATGTTAGTGAAGGCGGAGAAGAGGGCGAACTAGAGGAAAAACAGGCAGATTCCTCCTCTATTTACAAACTCCTGGGGATGCAACAAGTGGGCGCGGTGCGTCGACTTCCGGATCTGACGTCGACAAATTTTTAGAATCGAGCCGTCGACTTCGTCGAGGCTTCGCTACAGCCCTAGCTAAGAGGTACACTATGATGTTAGATGGTACATTATGATGTCACAATCTCGTGAGTGTGTGTGTATTTGTTAGCGGCTCTGCCCTCTCGGTTTGCCAGGCAACAGCATTTGTTGCATTTTTCAAACAGGAAGTGGGAGTGGAGTAATACTCTGGTAGGGGGTGACTTGCACTTTATACTTCCACAACGAGAGTATCAAACATACATGTAACTTAAAACATCAGCAACAATTAAAACTGACTTATTTAGAACTTTTCTGGAAAATCTTTTGTTGATATTTTGATCTAACTTTAATTCAATTCAATTCAAATTCAATTCAAAAACTTTATTAATCCCAGAGGGAAACTGATTGCTGTAGTAGCTCAGAATAATAATAATAATCAAGTCATCAAAGAGTTGTTGTATATTACAACGGCTGTTGGCAGGAAGGATCTCCAGTAGCGGTCAGTGTTGCAGCCAAACTGAAGAAGCCTCTGACTGAAGACACTCTTCCGTTGTCGGACAGTCTTGTGAAGAGAATGCTCAGGGTTGTCCATCATTTTCTTGAGTCTCTGGAGAATCCCTCTTTGCATTATCTCCTCCAGCGGTTCCACAGTCGTCCCCAGAACAGAAGCAGCCTTTTTTATTAGGCTGTTGAGCCTTTTCAGGTCCCTGCTTCTGATGCTGACCAGCACCTGATTTATTATTGCCCATTATGATCGATGGAAGAGATGGTTTGAATTTCCTCTTTCTCTGTCTCCGTTTTGATCCCGCTCTGCACCCACGCTTCTTGCGTTTTAGCTCATTTGGGATTTGTGGCTTCAGTTGAGGTATTATTTCAACCTTTCCAATGTTAATCAGCTGCTCCAGATTGTAAACCAGCTTGTTACCATGGTTACACATCATAACAAATGCTCAAAAAGTGAAAAAGTGAAAAAATTGCAGTAAAAATCCTCTAAGCTTCACAGCACCAGAAACAGAAAAGTAAAATGTCAAAAAACAGTTTTTCTTGACAAACTAGAAGAAAAAGTGTCCAAAAAAAGGCAAAACTTACATATAGTCAACAGAGCTACTCCAACATGCAGCCACCCAGAGCAGCGCAGTTCCGCAGTTAGAAGCACTAATTAAAAAATTAAGAAGAAAAAGCTCAGTAGTTTATATCTCACTAGCTTTTTTAGTGGCTAGCTGAGCGGCTACACAAACACTCCACAAACAGGACCAACAAAATCAAAATACTTTTTCAAATTTTGTTTAACATTTGATCTTCTATAACAGTGCTACACCCATAAACATGAATGTGTAAATAATGTCTGAGGCTACAGCTAACAATAGTTTTTGTTAGCATCTTTGGCTAAATAACTAGTTTGGTTGTTGTATCCTTTGGCCATCACAAGGGGGCGCTGCAGCCCCCCCCAGTGACGGACCGCCCGAATCTTCCCGGGCTAACGGGCTAACCGGATCAAAGTTAGCAGAGACGTAGCAGCAGGTATGTTCGCTCTGCAGGGTTTTAACGACGAAACCGGTCTCAAACCTAAAATGTTTTAATTTGTTGTGTTAAATTGATTTGTTTCTGCCTAAACTGTATTGTTCAACCATCAACATATGTGTTTAACAAACAACACAACCACTTGGAGCTAACTAGTGCTGGCAGCGCTAGCTAACATATAGCTAGCAGTAGTTGTGGCGGGTTCTAGCCGATTTAGTCAAACCTTTTCACAGGTTTATTGTAAACCTGCTTCACAATTTTAATACATGACATTTAGGATTTTCTGAGCTATTAGAAACAAGCGGTTTCATGATGATGATGAAATCTGCAGCCAGGTTTTACCTGCTCAGGTACAGGAGCAGATTTTAATATTTATCAGTAAATGACACCTGCTGTTGCATGCTTGATTCCATGTTTATTCTAATGTCATTGATTGTTTTTAACCGCTGTGAGGACATTTAACTGGAGCCTGATGACTTGATAAAAAGACCAAACAGGAAGCAGAAGGTGAAAACGGATTTATAGATTCTGGACCTGAAGCTCTGAACTGCTGTGTGCTTGTGAATAATACCCCGATCAGGAAAGAAAGGATAGGGGTATCCAAACTGCCTCTAATGAATGGCAGCTTTACTTCTCAGTGATCCAAGATTTCTGTGTTTCAGGCGAAAGTGGAGCTGGAAAAACAGAAGCCAGTAAACACATCATGCAGTACATCGCAGCCATCACCAACCCCAGCCAGAAGGCGGAGGTGGAGAGGTGTCTCTGCTTTTCCCGAGTAAGATGTCTCCACAAACTCAATGTAAATCTCACCTTCTCTCCCTTGTGGCTGTTTTTTCTTCTTCTCTGTGGCGGATCAGTGTGAAGAACGTGCTGCTGAAGTCCAACTGTGTTCTGGAGGCTTTTGGGAACGCCAAAACCAACCGCAACGACAACTCCAGCCGCTTCGGCAAATACATGGACATTAACTTTAACTTCAACGGCGATCCCACGGGAGGACACATCAACAATTACCTGCTGGAGAAGGTGTGTGTGTGTAAAACTAGTTGGAATTGCCCTTTTTGAATCAGACATTTAAAAGGGAACCAACTTCAGCTTCGTATGCGTGACTGTGTTCAAACTCAGTCTGGAAATTTTTCCACTTTCACGTTTAGTTTCCTTTCTTTAAAAATGTCTGTCAGAAATAATCTAGGAGCTGATTTTCATTCTGTTCCTCTTGAACATTTATTTTGTTGTGCTTTGCTAACGTGACGTTTTCATGTTTAAGTCCAGGGTGGTCCAGCAGCATGAGGGGGAGAGGAACTTCCACTCCTTCTATCAGGTAAACTCACCTTTCTGCTGCAGCGACAGTCAGCGTGCCTCCACCGTTGATCTCTGATCCCTGCTGTGTGTCCAGCTGCTGCGTGGAGGATCCGAGGAGATGCTGAAGTCGTGTCACCTGCACAACGATCCGGCGCTCTACCTGTACACCAGAGAGGGCTCTGCGGCCACCGTGAGTTCAGCCACTGGAAGAAAACCTCTCCGGAGTTTAAACTCAAAGGAAGTTTGCTTCTGATTTCCAGACTTCCAACAACGATCGGATGAACCACAAGGCGGTGATGAGTGCACTGGATGCGATTGGCTTCTTGCCGGAGGAGATCCGCTCTATTAACCAGATCCTGGCTTCTATTTTACACCTGGTAGAGATTCCTGCCACTTTTGGTTTTAGCAGAAGCTAACCTAACTAAATATATGGAAACAATATGACCATAATATTGTTCTTTCAACATTTTTTGACTTTATGAAAATCTTTTTACATTTAAGTTATTTTTGACTTGTATTTGATGAGGTCCTCCACCGAGAAACCATTTTTAATGATTATCTCTGATTCTAACGGGTCAGTCTGAGTGTTTCATGCAGGCCGAACATGAAGATAGTCTCCTACACCGATTTCCTGCAGTAGCTTCTGATAGAAAACAGACAATCCTGACAGATCTACGTCACCCTGTCACTAACATTCATGGACTCACGACGGGGAAGCTGCTGTTGGTTTAGTCCAGGAAACAGCAGAGAACGTCTTAATTGTGAATGATCACTTACTTCCTGTTGGTGGCAGAAGAGTAAACAACAGTGCAGAAAACCCACAGATCAGATTTATTAAGAATGGAATCAAATTTTCCAAAATTAGAGCCATTTTTAAATTATATTAACATTATAATGTTAAGTTAATAAACTGAAACTTGAATAAAATACTTTATGCATCATCGGTTTAAAAAACATTTGTTTGAACTTGGGAGTGATTTTCTGTCTGGTTCAGGGAAACGTTTCCTTTGCGAGCGACGGCGAGAACATTAAGATCCTGGGTCTGGACTCGGTGAAGCACATCTCGGAGCTGACGGCTACGGATCCTGACAGCGTCAGTAAGAGCCTGCTGTTCCGGACGGTCGCCACCGGCGGCGGGGAGGTCATTGAAAAGGGTCACACGGAACAGGACGCCTGCTTTGGGCGGAACGCCTTCGCTAAGGTGCGTCTGGTCGGGATGAGATTCCAAGTGAACGCTGTAGTTATTTGTGTCTGTTGTTTGTAATTCTGCTGCGCCCCTCCCCCCGACGCTGCAGGCGCTCTACGAGAGGCTCTTTGGTTGGATTGTGAGCCGCATCAACGGCATCATAGAAGTGAAAGACTACAACCCAGTGCTTCACGGGAAGAACACCGTCATCGGTGTTCTGGACATCTACGGCTTCGAGATCTTTGACAGCAACAGGTCTGAGCTCCGGCACTGTTGAATCCTCCGTGGGGTTTAGTCTCTGAATTCTGTTTCTGTCCAGTTTTGAACAGTTCTGCATCAATTACTGCAACGAGAAGCTGCAGCAGCTCTTCATCGAGCTGATCCTCCAGCAGGAGCAGGACGAGTACCAGAGAGAGGGCATCACCTGGCAGCACGTGAGCAGACGCGCGTCTCCTGAAGAAATACTCATACTGTCAGCTAGGGTCGTCACGGTAACCGGTGTAGCGGTAAACCCCGGTTAAAAAGTTGACAATAATAATAACCGTCTTGTTTTAATAAAACTATATTATCTCTGTGGGTTACCGTGGCTGCGGTGTAGGCGTGGTGACCCTTACCAGCCACCGTATCATCTGCTGAAGTTGCCGGCGGCACATGCGCACGTTGTTGTTTACAACCAAAACTTTCTTGAAGCTGAAGCTGAAATAATGGCCAAAGGAGGAGACGGCAGCACTCAGGACATTTATTATCCCTCAAAGAAGACAAAGTGGGAAGTACGGGCATGTTTTAGATATGTGAACAATGCCGAGGGACAGCTGATAGAAGACGGCTATCCTGTTTGCAGCACGTGCAGAAAAAGTGTCTGTGAAAGGCAGCAACGCTTCAAATCTCATGACACATCTGCGTGACCATCACCCACAACTCTACAGTCAACGCAAGGCAAGCTAACGTTAGCGTTTTAGCTAAAATGCGTGATCCGAGGATTTGGGTTGAGGGAGAAAGCAACGAGTCGCTATATAAAGCAGCCGCAGCGCCGCTACCTGCATATAAACCGTGTCGCGGACACCGCCATGTTGAAATGACGCTATGCATTACGGGGCTCCCAGGGGCAGATAAGAGTTGGTCTCTCTCCGAGAATAATTATGAATTTAACAACGATTACTGCCTGATGACATTTTCCCACATCTGCAAAGCTCACTGGAAGGACACAAACCGAGGACAATATTCTCCTGATATAGGGTTTATTACTCAAGTAAGGGTAAAAAAGTATCTGATTAGAAGGCTACTTGAGTACTGAGTATCATCTGATCTAATATTTTTAAATGATGACATCAAACAGACATAAAATAAGAAGTTATGGGCAAATATTGGTATTTTAAAGACTAAAGGGGAAAAATGTAAACAAATAAACAACATAATTACAAAATAACACATTTTAAGGCTAAATTTAGACACAAACTGAGGACAATATTTCCTGACATACAGGGTTTATTTAGTTGTGTGAAAATGTAGCACGTTTAAAAAATATACCGCGATAATACCGAAAACCGTGGTAATTTTGGTCGAAATAACCGTGAGGTTACATTTTCACACCGTGATGACCCTACACACGACCATGAAGCCAGTAAAACCGCGCTCACATCTAAAACAGCTGGACACCAGTAAACCAGGACGTGTGCCGTTTGTTTTCCTCTCTCGCAGATCGACTACTTCAACAACCAGATCATCGTGGGCCTGGTGGAGCAGCAGCACAAAGGCATCATCTCCATCTTGGACGAAGCCTGCCTGACGGTCGGTAACGTCACTGACACGGTCTGTCTGGAGAGCATGAACACCAAACTGGCTCAGCATCCTCACTACACGTCCAGAAAGGTGAGTGATCTTCACTCCATCACACAAACATCCCCTAATATGTGTGACTCGGCTGATTTGATCCTTTCACTTGTTAGGCTCCAGGAACAGCTGACTCAGAATCACTGAGCAGAAATATGAGAAACGTTTCTATAAACAGCATCTGGACGTGGTAACGCCCTCCTCTGACCTACAGAACTTTATTTGCAGCCAAAGTTGGTTTTGCTTCTGTAGGATGGAGCAGCTCAAACTAAAAACTTCTACAAGCGAACATTTCTGATGGATCTAAACTATTTCTAGTTCCTGTTCACCCAGTAGAGAAGCTGAGCTGTAGTTCGGGGTTAGGCCAGCAGAGGGCAGCAGAGCGCTAAGCTGCAGAAGCACCAGAACCGTCTCACCTGACCTCCCTTACAGCATCACACCTGTGTGTCAGGTCAGGTCATAATCTGCTGTCACCAAAGCTTTTTATCAGTTAAGGAGGACCGCCAAGGTTAATTCAATTCAATTCAAGTTTATTTATATAGCGCCAAATCACGACAAGAATCGTCTCAAGGCACTTCACATAATAAAAATTCCAATACAGGTCAGTTCATTAAGCCAATCAGAAATAATGTTTCCTATATAAGGAACCCAGCAGGTCGCATCTAGTCACTGACTAGTGTCAGTGACTATACAGCAATCCTCATACCAAGCAAGCATGCAGCGACAGTGGAGAGGAAAACTCCCTTTTAATAGGAAGAAACCTTCAGAGAATCCTGTCTCAGTATAAGCAGCCATCCTCCACGACTCACTGGGGATGGAGAAGACAGAGCAGACACACACACACACACACACACACACACACACACACACACACACGGTTAAGCGTCTGCTCTCAAGTCATGACTTGGAGACGGCGATTCACGCGTTTATTACATCACGTCTTGACTATTGCAGCACACTGTACCTTGGTCTTCCTCAGTCTCACCTCTCCCGTCTTCAAATGGTGCGGAATGCAGCAGCACGCCTGTTGACGGGTTCGAGAAAGAGGGAGCACGTTACCCCAGTTTTAGCTTCGCTGCACTGGCTGCCTGTGGATTTCAGGGTCCAGTACAAGGTTCTGTTATTGGCTTTTAGAGCCGTACACGGCCTTGCTCCGCAGGATCTGTGTGAACTTTGAGTTACTCACTCCCCGTCTCGATCACTGAGGTCGGCCGACCGGTTTCTGCTGGAGGTGCCGAGAACAAAGAGAAAGCTCAGCGGTGATGGAGCTTTCTCAGTAGCAGCTCCAAGGATGTGGAATGCTCTCCCGATCCAGATTAGGATGTCTTCGTCACCGTCGGGGTTTAAATCCCTTTTAAAGACTCGTCTGTTCTCAGCTGCTTTTAATTCAGTTTGTTTTTATCATGTTTTTACTTTGTGATGAACTTTTTATCTTATTTTTAGAATTTTTAGGGAACTTCTGTTCTTTTTGGCGTGTTAAGCGCTTTGGTCAGCTCTTATGCTGTAAAGTGCTTCATAAATAAAGTTGACCTGACTTGACCTCTCTTGTTTCCAGTTCAACCCTTCGGACAAATCCATGGACTTCCAGAAACACTTCCGTATTCGCCACTATGCTGGAGATGTCACGTGAGTCGCTCACATTTTTACAGTGTCGGAGAATCGACCAGCTCTTATGCAAAGGTCAAAGGTCAGAGGTGGAAATCCTCTTAATAGGGACATAAGATTACACAAATGCATGCATTTCTGTCGGTTTTAGCTCCTTTCTCTTTAAGACCTCCTTTTATAAACACTTTATTTAGTGTTTCAATGATTATTGCAAAATAAAAAAGCAGTGAGATGACCAGGATAACAATGACAAGAGCAAAAATCTTCAAATGACCTAGTTTGACTAAATATTCCTTATCTGGCCCCGTTTTCTCTACTTGTGAAGTCAGACGAGGTTCTCTGCAGCGTGCACAAACACGATCACATGACCACTGTGTGGCTGCTGCACAGAGACAGCCCTGTGATGTGCAGCACCATCTTCACCTCATCTGGCCTCGGCTGGTCTCCAGATCTCCATTTAGCGTTTAAAGTGGAAACTCAGATTAACATCAGATTTAAGGGATGTGAGGATTTCGGCCCTCTGGGTCTGATGCTGATGGACGCAGCCGTTAGGTTCCTCGTTCAGACGGGAAACGGTTGTTTTTTCTTCATCTCTCATCCTCCGTGATGTTTCTACTGGATCCTAACGCACGGGCAGCCCGGTGAGGCTCGCTGCCAGCAGCCAGCCGCCGTGGCATCGCCATCTGAAGATCCCCGCAGCTCACGTGTGCTGGCCTCCAACCAGCGGGGGGGAGGACATTAATATGTGAAGGGAACACGGAGGAGGAGGGGACAGAGCTCTCTGATAAGTCAGTCGGGTCTGAGATCCAGCAGCACTAATCTCTGTAAGATGTTCTTAGAATTAAGAACGCCAGAAGAACCTCCTCCTCTGAGACCCAACGAGCCGCGGCTCCTGACCTCAAACACGTTTAATGATCAGGTGTTTGCTAAGCTGAGGCCCAATAGATGAACTGGAATCTAAAACATGACAGAGCGATCCAGTTCTGGTTCTTGTTGCTGAACACGTTTATCAGAACCACCCATCAGCTCCTGGGTCGAGCCCCGGGTCCTGATGGGTGCTGATGTCTAAGGCTCGGTCCACACAGCAGAATAATCACAACCATCGTACGCGTTAACCATACAGGCACCTGGGCGATTGGGTCCACGACCTCTAAAGGGCCCGGGCCCGGGGCAGCAGCATCTGTTAGCTCTGCTACGACTCACCCCTCTAAACGACGCTAAAAGCTGCCGATACGTGAGTTGAGTTCTGTGGCAAACATGCGCGTGTGGTACTCGTGTCTGACAACACGACTCAGCGGCGCCTAACCTAGCGTAACACCCCGCCCCCTCCTCCCTGCTTCGTCCTGCCTGCTGCTCCTCTCTCCCTCCGGTTCGCCACTCGCTGCTGTTCTGGTAAAGTAAAGTAAAGTGTGTGTGTGTGTGTGTGTGTATAAAATTTTCCATCCAGGATGTGGGGAGATGACAGTGTGAAAAGCAAAGCAGTTGCTAAAGTCTGCGAAGAAACGCCGCACAAGTGGCAGGTCTGGGGCAGCAAGGGCACGAATCTGTAATCTCCCGCCTCATATGAACCAAACTGTCCACCCGGGCTTCTGCGCTGCACGCGCTTCGCTGCCGATGACTCTGAACGTCAGTCGAGTCAGTCTCATGCAGACGGACCAATGAAGAGAGGCGTTGTTGTTCTATTTTAAAACAAGTTAAAATGAGTTTAGGATCAAAATGTTAACGAGCGGATAACGGTGATGCTGCGTTCCATTTCTTTTCTCCTTGAGGTGCCAGCTTTATGGAAATGGTGTAAATCGTTGTGGAGCTGGCAGATTGAAGTAGTTTGTGTTGGACTAATCACATGACTGCCTTGTTGAGGAGACGGGGTCACCATGTGGTCTTCTGTGATAGCTCTAATATCAGTTCAGTACATTTCTGTTGGGAATAAGTGTTGTTAACTCATTCACTGCCAGCGTTTCTCACCGTTTTTACTGTTTTTTTAAGAGTCCCAGAACGTTGCGCGCTAGCATGATGTCGATGCCAAAACAACCAAAACGAAGCGGAGACTCACCTCTTACATCAGGAAGAGTCCGCGTGTTTCGAGCGTTATCGTTCTTTTATAATCCGTTGTTGAATTGTGATCGGCAGAAGCTTTTCCGGTTCGCGCCTCACTTTTTTTACAGCAGCGGCCCAAAACGATCTCCTAACACATGGATGGTCTGCTTCCTGATCATGTGACGTGTGACGTATGCGGATGAAGATCGGCTTCAGGGCTGAGATGTTTGTTCTCTCAGCGCGGGGGCTCGTTCTGATGCTCAAACAGTAAAAAAATGCAAATGATGACTTTAGTCGTCATTGGCAGTGAATGAGTTAAATAAATGATGGTTTCAAAGCGGTTGCTTATTTATTCATTTGGACCCAACGTAATGGTCCAGCTTTACCAGCTTACACAGATGCTGATGTGTTTTGTTTACATATGTGAGTGGGTGTCCATGATGGGGGACATGGTAGTGCATTCGTAGTTCTATTTTACACCTGATGCCTGTTGGAGTTTCAAGTATTGAGTATATTTACTGCATATTACAGTAAAATATTCTGTATGTGACCATATTATGGTGACCCTTGGGTCGTGATGATGGGGCCCCTGAATGTTGTTGCCCAGGGTACAACAAAGTGTTAATCTGGCCCTGATCGTACGACTCCCCAGATTACCGCATCACGTCGGGACCGCTCGGATTAGAACGCCTTCAGACATGTTGGGTCGTCTTGGTCTGACTCAGAGGGCAAGCGAGCATCCTGCCTGTAGCCAATCAGAGAGCCAGGTGGTGCGTGCCCCTCCTCTGCCACATTTGCTTACGCTGGATCTCGTGAGATTTCCTGTCTGAACGTTCGTGTGAACTCGGTCCGAGCAGAGTTTTTGTTGTGTGTGTGAACACCACGTGCTGCGGGACCAGAACGGGTACATCTGTGACTTACGTGTCACCTCATGTGGGTCTCTAACGCTTCCAAAGTCCTGCCTGAGCTGCTGGGGAATGGACTCACCTGGCAGCCTTCATCCTGGCATCCTAACCTGCTTCCTCGGATGCAGCGGCTTTCCCGAGGCTCCCAGCAGGAGACCATGGACACCGGATTCTGGCTCTGGGATAGACAGATTTAGCCCCAGCTACGCTGTTTATTACATGTTGCTATGGCAACCTATGAAAACCCCTAGAGCCTGGACCTTTGCTTCCCTCCGCATTACAAAGTGAGCCTCCATACTTTACACTTTTTTCCAGTCTTTAAAGCTTCACTCGTTGCAGGCTCATGATATCATCATGTCACTCGTGGTGATGTCACCGTGTCTCCAGCAGTGGGAGACTTCACGCTGTGATGCGCTTCCAGATTAGACAGGAACGCAGTAACGCCGTTGTTTGTCAGAATAAAAGGATCTCAAGATCATTCCTCCCGGTTTGTGAGCCCCAGGTGGAAACTTCACCGATGATGACATCGTTGTGGTGAAACCACGCCCCTCTCGTGACCCGACGTGGTGACAGATGGACGTCCCCGTTTCAGGGCAACGTCGGGTCCTCTCTCGCTGAGCTGTCACCATCTCCTGTCTCCTCCTGTAACACCTTAGTCTGTCCTTACTCCAGCTCTGCCCCCCCCCCCCCCCCCCATCATCACAGGCTCTGGCCTACTTTGCTTCCAGGAGCCAAAAGGACACATCTGTCACATCTTCCTCCTGCCCTCCATCTGCAGATGTGACATCTGAGGATGCTGTCTCAGACCAGGCCACACTGATCACACGTGACACGCTGGGAGCAGGATGCTGACCGAATCAGTGAAACGAATGAGTTCATGGAAGAGATGCTGGTTTAGGTTGAAATGAATCAGTCAGTTACTAGTTTTAGAATAAAATCCTCAAACTACCTGTACTCCAATAGAGTTATTATGTGTTGTTATTATACTACATATAACATATTATTAGGTATTTGTACATAAGTCATGACCATGTTAGAAAAGTCTAAAAGAAGATTAACTTCAGTTAGTTTCAGTATTTGGAGTCTTGTTAGTAAATCATTGACGTAAATCTTCTGACCTATGGAGCGCCAGAAGTGCCAAATCTATTTATGAAACTACAATGAATAATTTTTACCTAATTTAAAGAGCAAGTCGCCCCGTATCAGTCTTACTCCACTCCTACTTCCAGCAGTGCGCTACCAACGCTATCTATAGTGGGGACGGTGTGCTGCTGACCTCTACTCAGGACGTTGTGGATCGGTGGTCAGAATACTTCGAAGACCTCCTCAATCCCACCGACACGTCTTCCAGTGAGGAAGCAGAGTCTGGGGACTTTAGGTTGGCCTCTCAAATCTCTGGTGCTGAGGTCACTGAGGTGGTTACAAAGCTCCTCTGTGGCAAGACTCTGGGGGTGGATGAGATCCGCCCGGAGTTCTTTAAGGCTCTGGATGTTGTGAGGCTGTGTTGGCTGACACGGATCTGCAATATCGCGTGGACATCGGGGCAGTCCCACTGGACTGGCAGACCGGGGTGGTGGTCCTCTTATTTAAGAAGGGGGACTGCAGGGTGTGTTCCAACTGCAGGGGGATCACACTCCTGAGCCTTCCTGGTAAGGTCTATTCAGGGGTTCTGGAGAGGAGGGTTCATCAGATTGTTGAACCTCAGATTCAGGAGGAGCAATGTGGTTTTCTGGCCGTGGAACACTGGACCAGCTCTATACCCTTAGGGGGGTCCTGGAGGGTGCGTGGGAATTTGCCCAACCAGTCTACATGTGTTTTGTGGATTTGGAGAAGGCGTTTGACCGCGTCCCTCGGGGGGCCCTGTGGGGGGTACTCCGGGAGTATGGGGTACCAGGCCCTCTGATACGGGCTGTTAGGTCCCTGTATGACCGGTGTCAGAGCTTGGTCCGCATAGCCGGCAGTAATTTGGGCTCGTTCCCAGAGAGAGTTGGACTCCGCCAAGGCTGCCCCTTGACACCGATTCTGTTCATAACCTTTATGGACAGGATCTCCAAGGTGTGGAGGGCATCCGTTTTGGTGGCCTGAGGATCAGGTCTCTGCTTTTTGCAGATGATGTGGTCCTGTTGGCTTCATCAGAACGTGATCTTCAGCTTTCGCTGGAGCGGTTCGCAGCCGAGTGTGAAGCAGCTGGGATGAGAATCAGCTCCTCTAAATCTGAGACCATGGTCTTGATTCGGAAAAGGGTAGAACGCCTTCTCCGGGTCAGGGATGCGGTCCTGCCCCAAGTGGAGGAGTTTAAGTATCTCGGGGTCTTGTTCACGAGTGAGGGAAAACTGGAGAGTGAGATCGACAGGTGGATTGGTGCTGCATCTGCAGTGATGCGGGCGTTGTACCGGTCTGTCGTGGTGAAGAGAGAGCTGAGTCAGAAGGCGAAGCTCTTACCCGTCGATCTACGTTTCTACCCTCACCTATGGTCATGAGCTTTGGGTAGTGACCGAAAGAACGAGATCGCGGATACAAGCGGCCAAAATGAGTTTTCTCCAAAGAGTGGCTGGGCTCTCCCTTAGAGATAGGGTGAGAAGCTCAGTCATTCAGGAGGGGCTCGGAGTAGATCCACTGCTCCTCCACATCGAGAGGAGCCAGTTGAGGTGGCTCAGGCATCTGGTCAGGATGCCTCCTGGATGCCTCCCTGGTGAGGTTTTCCGGGCACGTCCAACCGGGAGGAGACCTAAAGGTAGACCCAGGACACGCTGGAGGGACGATGTCTCTCACCTGGCCAGGGAACACCTTGGGATTCCCCCGGAGGAGCTGGTCCAAGTGGCTGGGGAGAGGGAAGTCTGGGCCTCTCGCCTTAGGCTACTGCCCCCGCGACCCGACTCCGGATAAGCAGATGAAAATGGATGGAGGGAGAATGCACGCTGTCCACTGAGATGGACATGTAATAAATTATTTGTAAATTAAATGTTACAAAAATATGTAAATATGAAATTTGTTTCATTCACACCTAAAGATGAATGAAAGAAATTGTTGAAAAAAATCATGGTTGAAGATTTCATAATTCATGCATCAAAGGGTTAACGAAAGTTAAAACTTTTAAAATAATGAACAAAAACATCAAATGATTTTAAAGTTGCTGTAACGAATCTACGGAACAAGCTAGGTTCTGACACGAAACACTCACCCCTCCTCTCGGGTATCTTCTGTGGTTCCACGTCAGCCGGAACCAAAACCCTGCCTTGCCAGAGGAAACGAGATGGTGCTAAACACCAGTCGCTGTTTTCTAGGTCCAAACGCTTTTTGTTGGAGCTGGAGTGGTAGCAGCCGGCTGTTTCTCCTTCTCTGATATTATTGAGCGAAGAACCTCTCACATCTGTGGTATTCTGCTGCTAAATCCGTGAGTGATGAGAGGAGGACCCAGGAAAGTGCTGCTGTTCAGCGAGACGGACAACCGGATGGTCCGATTGTTGGTTTTGGTCCGAGCCGTGTTATAAGTGGAGGTCTTTAGACAAATGCGAGAGGACTACTCTATAGTTCTTTTAAAAAAAATGTCTTATGTCCACAATCGGGATGTGAGAAATGATCAGTACGACAATAAATCGTGATCTATTTTCCTACAACAGTACATCAATATTCAAAAGCTGTGTATCAAATTTTTGGAAGAGTTTTCATGCAAACATTTTTGTATTTTCTGTTGGTGCAATTCAAACTCCAGCCGCTAGGTGGCAGCAGGGTGCCGTGGGTTTTGTTTCCACCATTGAAATGTAAATCCCTCTATTAGGGTTCAGTTACCTCATGTTACACACGTTACGTATCAGTTTGGACTCTTTATGGAGGTTTCCTACAGTAAATTCACTCTATAAAAGATTGCTAATATCGTCTGGCTGAATATCGTGATCTACCGTATCGTCTCCCCGTATCGTGAAACGTATCGTATCGCCAGAATTTCAGCAATACACATCCGTACTGTACAATATACGTATAGGTATACGAGGTTAGAACGTTGTTAAGAGGCATGCAAAATGTTTTAAAGAGCAAGTCACCCCAAATCAACCTTTTTTTTTGCTGATAAACTATCTAGACGAGTGTCTAATCGTGCTGCAGACACGCGTCATCAATAATGTGGCACCTTAGTGAGTCTTAGTTCAAATTTAAATTTTCTGCCTAAAACTGTCATGTGTTGCACCGTCGTCAGGTAAAAACTCTGAACTACATTTGAATTTAAATCTGCCACTTCTATTGGCTAAGAGGTACACAATGACGTTAGCTGGTACATTATGATGTCACAATGTCGTTGTGAGCCTGTCGCTCTGTCTCAATTCAGGGTCTGCATCCTTCGAAGGACCCAGTCTACTCGGCCGACGTGGGCTGGGTCCTCAGTCGGCCGGGTAGGCCGGATGTTAACGGCTGTGAATTTGGACAGGCCTAGCCTTCATGAATTCCCGCCTCTCCCTCGGCGAACGTTCCGTCGCCTAGCAACCGTGGAACCGCTGAGCAGAAGGGAGAAGGAACTTTAAACGATGGAGCTCAAAGTTTTATTTAGCTTTTTAATCATTTCCTTGACCGTTGGAGAGCTAATTCAGAGAAAATAGTTTCGACAAGCTGAGCCTGAGCAAAGATGTGATCATAGTTTTTAATCCTTTCTAAGGGTCTTAATTTGACCAAAACCCATTTATCACCTTTTAAGACTTTCAGACCCAGTGGATACCCTCTAGTAAACAATTCTCATTGTAAACAAAAATAAAATTCAAGAGTTTAATACAGAACTGATTTTATGTAGATATTTATTTTATATGTACATGTTTAATCTTTCTCCTGGGCCCTCTGCTGCTCTGCCTCCCTCTGCAGCCTCATGTCCTCCCTGATCAGCTCCAGAAGCTGGTCATCGCTGTCACCTTCCCCTGGATGCCCATTTTCTCCAGAATAGTCTTAACAAACATGTAAGAAAAACAACAGGAAGAGAAAAGAGGACAACGGGTTATTCCTTTCATGTTTTCGCAGAAAAAAATAAACTTAAAATATGAGAAGTTATTGTACCTCCATGCCACAGCCGCCGAATACTTAGCTCCAGTGATCATGTGGTCCATCTCCGCCCTGAGCTTAATAAATTCCCTGGTTTTCTCTTGTCCCTAAAATACAAACTTCTATTAAAATCAGGGGAAACGTAGCGGGAGAAGTACGACACCGAGCGGCCGAACATACGAGCCGAGACCGCAATACAAGCACGTTTACTGTAACATTTCTAACTAGAATAACGTTCTTGTGTCACAAAAAGCCCTTAACCTAACAGTTTTCAAGTTTATACTGACATTTATATGCACAATCCTCTCCCGACAGCTCCCGCTTCGCTGTCCGCCATTGTTTTTATAAGTTCTGATGGTTCTGCCATCAGAACTTATAAGGCATCTTGGGAAATGTGAACCACTGAAGGATACACCGGACCCATCCTTCATATACGCGAACAAAAGGCCGGATTCGTCGACCGTATTTGAAGGAGTCTTCAAATTGGGACAGGCCTGGTCGCGGCGCCGTGACGAATCCGGCCGACGAAGGATGCAGACCCTGAATTGAGACGCAGCCGTTGAGTACGACTCCTGTCGTTTTCCACCCTCAGGTGAACTTCTGCTTCCTGAAACGGGAGCACTAGATCTTTGTTTCTACTGACCAGCCTCTGTTCAGACTTCATCCACACCTGGTTTAGTTTATAACTATAACTAATCAGCCCAGTATAGTTGGTGATTTGATGCTTAAAGACCTGTTTTCAGGACTTTCAGAGGATCCGAGTGTTGTTCTGATCATTACACCGTCCTCATTCAGCCCTGAGGTCTCCTGGACCTTCTTCAGATCTGCTTCTCATCATTTCTTCTCTTTCTGTTGGTTTCAGATATTCAGTCGATGGTTTTCTAGAAAAAAACAAGGATTTGCTTTTCCAAGACTTCAAACGTCTCATGTACAACAGGTACCACGCTGGTCACAGGTGCTGTTCCCAGAACAACAGTAACTGGGTTAAGTGTAACTTCCTGTCTCTGATCTTGATTAAAGCCTCGCTCCTGCTGTTCTCGCCCCTCTCTCTCTCTCTCTCTCTCTCTCTCTCTCTCTCTCTCTCTCTCTCTCTCTCTCAGCACTAATCCAGTCCTGAAGGAAATGTGGCCCGATGGTCAGCTGAGCATCACCGAGGTGACCAAGAGGCCTCTGACTGCAGCAACTCTCTTCAAGAACTCCATTGTGGCTTTGGTCGATAAACTGGCCTGTAAGGTCAGTGCCTTCTGTTTCCCACCAACGTCCTCTCGTCAGACCGTGTTTAACCCAACCCGTCGTCTCAACCGTGAAAGGAGTCTTCAACGACGCCGTGCAGTCATGGCCAGAACATGCTGGGTTAGCTTCCATCCTCCTGGCCCACTTCAGAGCGGAGGTCTAGAATAGGAGGTGTGATGTGGGCCGTCGGGGGGGGTGGGGGGGTGTTACTGGTGCATTATTGATGGGATGGACGACTCGCCCCTGAGCCGGCCAGCCGTAACTCCTCTCTGATGCTTTTGTGGCCTTCAGAGTGCCGCTGTGGTGCTGGGGAGCGAGGCTCAGCTGTTCTCAGGTCAGTGACTGCTCACACTGCAGCGAAGGACGGTCGGAGATTTCTGTTTATTCGTGAGACGGCTGAGAAATCCGGAGCCTCAGCTCCTGTGATCGCTGTGAGCAGCTTGGTCCTCGGACCCACCGAGCTCAGGCCTCGTGTCACAGGAAGTGAGAAACGTTTCTCTCTCCTCATTTATCAGATTCACAGCTTTAGCCTAACGTGCCTTTGTTTGGTCTGTGGGAGAAGCCCCCCGCCTCCACAGGGACAACGTGCTAACTCTAGCTAGGATTCAAGCCTCAGAGGTTCTGGTCCATCCTGACATGACAGCATCTGCTCCATCCATGATGAGATGCTCCTGTTCCACCTCATCCCAAAGGTTCTGGACTGGACGGAGATCAGGTGACTGCGGAGGCCGCTGGAGTCCAGTGAGCTCACGGTCCTGTTCTAGAAACCAGTTAGAGATTGTCTGAGCTTTGTGGCGGGGTCCTGCTGGAAGCTGCATCAGAAGATGGGCCCGGATGAGCTGACTCCTCAGACAGGAAAGGCTTTCCGGGGTCCTCTGGTCCAGTTCTGGTGGTCCTGTGGACAGGCGAGACACCTGGTGTGGTCTTCTACAGACCTTAGTAGGAACCAGCCTGGCCTCTGAGCCTAGAGGTGGTTGTGGGTTCAAGTCCCAGCGAATCAGCGGATTCTGAAACACTCAGAAACTTCAGATGATTTTTACCGCGTCTGAATAAATGCTGCCGTCTGATTGGCTGAGTAGATTTCAGTGTTGATTTGTCATCGAGGCTTTTTGTGACTAAATCTGAACGATGACAGTTTGCTTCTGACCAGGTGAGACGCTCAGATAGAAGCCTGTGTCACACCCTGTCCTGTCTTCTCCTAGGTTGTAGTCTGTGTCTCTGTTAATTGCTCCCACCTGCCTCTTGTTTCCCAATCACCATAGGTCCTGTTCCTCATGTATTTAAACCCCTGCTGTTCTGTGTTCCTTGTGGCATCATTGTTCCAGTGTCAGCGTGCGTCTTTACTTAATAAACCTGTGGAATTCATCCTACCTGTCTGCCTGCTTCCTCCCCGGTCTGGATCCTTGCCTTTGTTCCGCTTCACTCCGCGCACGGCGTGACAGAATGACACCACCCCAACCCAGTGATGGATCCAGACGGGAGATTCTGCCTTGGGAGAATCTGCTCCAGTGGCTTACCCCGACCCACCAGCCGGCTTCTCCCTCTCCAGCCCCAGCTCTGCCTCGCCGCCGCCGGCATCGCCGACCTTTGGCCGCAGCGTTCCTCCCTGTCCTCCCGGAACCGGAGTCATGTTTGGACCGGGAGCCGCTGCCAGATCGCTCCAGCTATGAGGGCACGAGGCTGGCGATCTGTTCCCCCGGAGTCGGTCCACAGCGTGGGGAGAGACGCCGGAAGCCACCACAGCCCAGCGCTTCTGGACGGAGTTGCGAGCCCGCCGCTGGCCGTGCCCGGCGCGGCAGTTCGGACACGCCCCCGGCCAGACCACCAGTCCCGTCTCCTGCCGAACCGGAGCCCCCGTCGGTTGCAGAGGAAGGAGCAGCAGTCGCGGCCCGGCTGATGGAGCAACGGGCGGAGCTCGGCCGGTTCCGCGAGCTCCTCAGCCGCAAGGAGTCTCACCTGGACGCCCTATCCTCCTCGTCCCGGGGCCAGAGGAGCGAGCGCGGGGTTTCCCCAGCGGAGCTCGCCGGTCAGCGGGCTGAGCTGGCCCAGCTCCGTCGGACGCTCAGCCTCAAGGAGCTAGAACTGGACGAGCTGACATCCCGCCTCTCCTCATCGCTCCAAGCTTTCTTAGCAGCGGCCCTGCTGCCGACCTGGAAGCAGACGGTACCGGATCCGGTCCAAAACTCGGCGGTCCAGAAGTCGAGGGACCAGAGGCTGACGCCCCCGGGCCAGAAGCAGACGGTACCGGCCCAGAAGCCAACGGAGCGGGCCCAGAGGCAGAGGGTACCGACCCGGAAGCAGACGGTTCCGGTTCCGGTCCAGAGGTCGACGGTCCGAAAACCGAAGGACCCGAAGCCGACGCCCCCAGACCTGAAGTCGATGGAAGTCGACGCCCATTCCTGTTCTGAAGTCGACGCCCGTTCCTGTTCTGAAGTCGACGCCCGTTCCTGTTCTGAAGTCGACGCCCGTTCCTGTTCTGAAGTCGACGCCCGTTCCTGTTCTGAAGTCGACGCCCGTTCCTGTTCTGAAGTCGACGCCCGTTCCTGTTCTGAAGTCGACGCCCGTTCCTGTTCTGAAGTCGACGCCCCTTCCTGTTCTGAAGTCGACGCCCCTTCCTGTTCTGAAGTCGTCGCCCGTTCCTGTTCTGAAGTCGACGCCCGTTCCTGTTCTGAAGTCGACGCCCGTTCCTGTTCTGAAGTCGACGCCCCTTCCTGTTCTGAAGTCGACGCCCCTTCCTGTTCTGAAGTCGTCGCCCGTTCCTGTTCTGAAGTCGACGCCCGTTCCTGTTCTGAAGTCGACGCCCGTTCCTGTTCTGAAGTCGACGCCCCTTCCTGTTCTGAAGTCGTCGCCCCTGATGACGACGTGTCCGATGTCGTCGCCCCTGATGACGACGTGTCCGAAGTCGTCGCCCCTGATGACGACGTGTCCGAAGTCGTCGCCCCTGATGACGACGTGTCCGAAGTCGTCGCCCCTGATGACGACGTGTCCGAAGTCGTCGCCTCCTCGTCTGATGACGACGTGTCCGAAGTCGTCGCCTCCTCGTCTGATGACGATGTGTCCGAAGTCGTCGCCCCTGATGACGACGTGTCCGAAGTCGTCGCCTCCTCGTCTGATGACGACGTGTCCGAAGTCGTCGCCTCCTCGTCTGATGACGTCGCCTCCTCCTCTGATGACGTCCCGTCCGATGACGTCGCCGTCACCTCTGATGTCCCCGAAGTCGGCTCGTCTGACGACGTCGCTGCTACCTCGTCCTCTGAAGTCGGCTCGTCTGACGACGTCGCCGCTGCCTCGTCCTCTGAAGTCGGCTCGTCTGACGACGTCGCCGCTGCCTCGTCCTCTGAAGTCGGCTCGTCTGACGATGTCGCCGCCGCTGCCTCGTCCTCTGAAGTCGGCTCGTCCGATGTCGCCGCCTCGTCTGGGGATGCTCTTTGCACTCAAGAGGCCGACGCTCTGTCCAGCCCGGCGTCTCCACGGTCTCCAGTTCCGATGGTGGTTTTGAGGGCATCGCCGGCCCAGCCTGCAGTGACTTTGTCGCCGGCCCAGCCTGCAGTGACTTTGTCGCCGGCCCAGCCTGCAGAGCTCCTCCTCTGCCGCAGGCGCCGGCCTCCAAGGGCCCGTCGCCTCCTCTGCCGCAGGCGCCGGCCTCCAGGGGCCCGTCGCCTCATCTGCCGCAGGCGCCGGCCTCCAAGGGCCCGTCGCCTCCTCATCTGCCGCAGGCGCCGGCCTCCAAGGGCCCGTCGCCTCCTCATCTGCCGCAGGCGCCGGCCTCCAAGGGCCCGTCGCCTCCTCATCTGCCGCAGGCGCCGGCCTCCAAGGGCCCGTCGCCTCCTCTTCTGCCGCAGGCGCCGGCCTCCAAGGGCCCGTCGCCTCATCTGCCTCAGGCGCCGGCCCCCGGACTCTGCCGTTCCCTGCCGCCTCTCCATCGTCCTCTGGGCCCTCCCTCCGGGTCCCCCTCCCCCCGCCCTGCTCCTGGTTCCTGTGGGCGTCTGGGATCCGCCCTTTGAGGGGGGGTACTGTCACACCCTGTCCTGTCTTCTCCTAGGTTGTAGTCTGTGTCTCTGTTAATTGCTCCCACCTGCCTCTTGTTTCCCAATCACCATAGCTCCTGTTCCTCATGTATTTAAACCCCTGCTGTTCTGTGTTCCTTGTGGCATCATTGTTCCAGTGTCAGCGTGCGTCTTTACTTAATAAACCTGTGGAATTCATCCTACCTGTCTGCCTGCTTCCTCCCCGGTCTGGATCCTCGCCTTTGTTCTGCTTCACTCCGCGCACGGCGTGACAGAATGACACCACCCCAACCCAGTGATGGATCCAGACGGGAGATTCTGCCTTGGGAGAATCTGCTCCAGTGGCTTACCCCGACCCACCAGCCGGCTTCTCCCTCTCCAGCCCCAGCTCTGCCTCGCCGCCGCCGGCATCGCCGACCTTTGGCTGCAGCGTTCCTCCCTGTCCTCCCGGAACCGGAGTCATGTTTGGACCGGGAGCCGCTGCCAGATCGCTCCAGCTATGAGGGCACGAGGCTGGCGATCTGTTCCCCCGGAGTCGGTCCACGGCGTGGGGAGAGACGCCGGAAGCCACCACAGCCCAGCGCTTCTGGACGGAGTTGCGAGCCCGCCGCTGGCCGTGCCCGGCGCGGCAGTTCGGACACGCCCCCGGCCAGACCACCAGTCCCGTCTCCTGCCGAACCAGAGCCCCCGTCGGTTGCAGAGGAAGGAGCAGCAGTCGCGGCCCGGCTGATGGAGCAACGGGCGGAGCTCGGCCGGTTCCGCGAGCTCCTCAGCCGCAAGGAGTCTCACCTGGACGCCCTATCCTCCTCGTCCCGGGGCCAGAGGAGCGAGCTCGGGGTTTCCCCAGCGGAGCTCGCCGGTCAGCGGGCTGAGCTGGCCCAGCTCCGTCGGACGCTCAGCCTCAAGGAGCTAGAACTGGACGAGCTGACATCCCGCCTCTCCTCATCGCTCCAAGCTTTCTTAGCAGCGGCCCTGCTGCCGACCTGGAAGCAGACGGTACCGGATCCGGTCCAAAACTCGGCGGTCCAGAAGTCGAGGGACCAGAGGCTGACGCCCCCGGGCCAGAAGCAGACGGTACCGGCCCAGAAGCCAACGGAGCGGGCCCAGAGGCAGAGGGTACCGACCCGGAAGCAGACGGTTCCGGTTCCGGTCCAGAGGTCGACGGTCCGAAAACCGAAGGACCCGAAGCCGACGCCCCCAGACCTGAAGTCGATGGAAGTCGACGCCCGTTCCTGTTCTGAAGTCGACGCCCGTTCCTGTTCTGAAGTCGACGCCCCTTCCTGTTCTGAAGTCGACGCCCGTTCCTGTTCTGAAGTCGACGCCCGTTCCTGTTCTGAAGTCGACGCCCGTTCCTGTTCTGAAGTCGACGCCCGTTCCTGTTCTGAAGTCGACGCCCGTTCCTGTTCTGAAGTCGTCGCCCGTTCCTGTTCTGAAGTCGACGCCCGTTCCTGTTCTGAAGTCGACGCCCGTTCCTGTTCTGAAGTCGACGCCCCTTCCTGTTCTGAAGTCGACGCCCGTTCCTGTTCTGAAGTCAACGCCCCTTCCTGTTCTGAAGTCGACGCCCCTTCCTGTTCTGAAGTCGACGCCCCTTCCTGTTCTGAAGTCGACGCCCCTTCCTGTTCTGAAGTCGTCGCCCCTGATGACGACGTGTCCGAAGTCGTCGCCCCTGATGACGACGTGTCCGAAGTCGTCGCCCCTGATGACGACGTGTCCGAAGTCGTCGCTCCTGATGACGACGTGTCCGAAGTCGTCGCCCCTGATGACGACGTGTCCGAAGTCGTCGCCCCTGATGACGACGTGTCCGAAGTCGTCGCCCCTGATGACGACGTGTCCGAAGTCGTCGCCCCTGATGACGACGTGTCCGAAGTCGTCGCCTCCTCGTCTGATGACGACGTGTCCGAAGTCGTCGCCTCCTCGTCTGATGACGACGTGTCCGAAGTCGTCGCCCGTGATGACGACGTGTCCGAAGTCGTCGCCTCCTCGTCTGATGACGACTTGTCCGAAGTCGTCGCCTCCTCGTCTGATGACGACGTGTCCGAAGTCGTCGCCCCTGATGACGACGTGTCCGAAGTCGTCGCCTCCTCGTCTGATGACGTCGCCTCCTCCTCTGATGACGTCCCGTCCGATGACGTCGCCGTCACCTCTGATGTCCCCGAAGTCGGCTCGTCTGACGACGTCGCCGCTACCTCGTCCTCTGAAGTCGGCTCGTCTGACGACGTCGCCGCTGCTTCGTCCTCTGAAGTCGGCTCGTCTGACGACGTCGCCGCTGCCTCATCCTCTGAAGTCGGCTCGTCTGACGATGTCGCCGCTGCTGCCTCGTCCTCTGAAGTCGGCTCGTCCGATGTCGCCGCCTCGTCTGGGGATGCTCTTTGCACTCAAGAGGCCGACGCTCTGTCCAGCCCGGCGTCTCCACGGTCTCCAGTTCCGATGGTGGTTTTGAGGGCATCGCCGGCCCAGCCTGCAGTGACTTTGTCGCCGGCCCAGCCTGCAGAGCTCCTCCTCTGCCGCAGGCGCCGGCCTCCAAGGGCCCGTCGCCTCCTCTGCCGCAGGCGCCGGCCTCCAGGGGCCCGTCGCCTCATCTGCCGCAGGCGCCGGCCTCCAAGGGCCCGTCGCCTCCTCATCTGCCGCAGGCGCCGGCCTCCAAGGGCCCGTCGCCTCCTCATCTGCCGCAGGCGCCGGCCTCCAAGGGCCCGTCGCCTCCTCATCTGCCTCAGGCGCTGGCCCCCGGACTCTGCCGTTCCCTGCCGCCTCTCCATCGTCCTCTGGGCCCTCCCTCCGGGTCCCCCTCCCCCCGCCCTGCTCCTGGTTCCTGTGGGCGTCTGGGATCCGCCCTTTGAGGGGGGGGTACTGTCACACCCTGTCCTGTCTTCTCCTAGGTTGTAGTCTGTGTCTCTGTTAATTGCTCCCACCTGCCTCTTGTTTCCCAATCACCATAGCTCCTGTTCCTCATGTATTTAAACCCCTGCTGTTCTGTGTTCCTTGTGGCATCATTGTTCCAGTGTCAGCGTGCGTCTTTACTTAATAAACCTGTGGAATTCATCCTACCTGTCTGCCTGCTTCCTCCCCGGTCTGGATCCTCGCCTTTGTTCCGCTTCACTCCGCGCACGGCGTGACAGCCTGCTGCAGCGGTGTGGTCGGTGTGACTCCAGCCGCTGCAGCCCGGTCTGGTCTGTGGTAACCCGATCCCTCTTCGGGCCGGGCAGCCAGTACCTCTACGCCAGGCGGCGGTCAGAAAGCCCGCTGAGACTCTCAAACAGCTTCTTTCTGTTTCAGGAGCCGTACTACGTCAGATGCATTAAGCCCAACGAGATGAAATCCCCGGTGTTGTTTGACGACGCTCGCTGCGAGCACCAGGTGGCGTACCTGGGCCTGCTGGAGAACGTGATGGTTCGCAGGGCGGGTTTCGCCTACAGGCAGCTGTACGCCCGCTTCCTGCAGCGGTGAGGATCCAGTCTGATCGTTGTCATCTTTAGCTCGCCTGAACTGTTAAAAACAAACCCTCCCTCCTCCCGGCAGGTACAAGATGACCTGTGAATACACCTGGCCCAACCACCTGATGTCCTCAGACCGGGAGGCCGTGGAGGCCATCATCACGCAGCACGGTTTCCACGACGACGTGGCGTACGGGCACACCAAGCTGTTTGTGCGAACGCCGCGGTCTCTTTTCACCCTGGAGCAGGAGCGAGCCGCCCTCCTCCCCATCCTGGTGCTGTTCCTGCAGAAGGTCAGACGTGTGATCCACTTGCAGCATGAGATGATTCAGTCGTTCCACCCTGGTGTTCCTAATGATCTGGCCGTTTAATCAGGCGGCACAGACCCGGGTTCCTGGCCCGAGCACCGCCTGCTTGAATTCTAATTTCCTGTAACAATAATTGTGATAATTAATGAGCTCCAGAGCAGTTAGCTCTGGCGCTGGGTGGAACAGCGATCCCTCTTCTCCTTCCCTGACCTACTTTAACGGCGGCAGCTTTGTCTCGTTTGTCTCTAACGTCCTCCAGGTGTGGCGAGGCGCTCTGGCCCGTCTGAGGTGCCGACGGATGAGAGCCATCTACACCATCATGGGCTGCTACAAGCGCTACAAGGTCAAAGCCCACTTCTGGGAGGTGGAGCGGCGATTTGCAAACGTGAGAACCATGGCGGATTATGGGAGGAGCGTGCAGTGGCCGACTCCTCCTGCAGCTCTGGCTTCGTTTCACAGAATCACAAACACGCTGCATCGCAGGTCAGAACCAGCTCTGGAGATAAAACACGTCTAGAAACAAAAACCGCAGGGAAAACCTTAAACATCAGCCCAGGAGACGGGCGCGTCAGAGCTTCACATCAGCAGCTAGTTAGCGTAGCGTGGTGCTAGCGTCCATGTTTTAGTGCTGCAGGTTCACTTTAAGTCCTGATTAAAAGGGAAGTGATCACAGAGAAATGTGAGATGTAATGGAGGGTTGTTGTTTTCAGGTGGTGGGCGAGGCAGATCGTGAAGAACATCCCTCCGTCCGACATGCTGGAGGTCCGCGCCAAAGTGGCGGCTCTGACCTCTCTGAGTGGTGAGAGGAAGGACTGGGGAGTGGGCCGAGCCTGGGAGAGGGACTACCTGTCCAACGTGAGAACCTCAAAACAAAAAGACTTCCTGTTTTACTCTCAGCACACCGTTGCCTAGCAACAGTACAATAATCAGCTGTGCTTGTCGGTTTAACCCCTCGTGGTGAAGGGCTAACTTGTGCTAGTGGTACCGGAAGTTCATCTGGAAGTTTTTACTTCCGTAATAAAACATAGAAAAGTTTTCGGAGTTAAGCCGAAGTCGGGATCGGCTTCTTTTGCTGTTCTGACACGACACAAACATCTTAAAGATCTGTTTACACTGGACACTTTCAGGTCCCGCAGCGTTTGAGCCAGAGCCTAAATCCGCTCCATCAGACGGATGAAAACTTGCTTTATTCATTTTGTTTTGTAGACGCCCTGCAGAGTTTTCCTGCTGGTGGTTTTTTACAGCTTTGCCTCATTTCCTACAAACATTTGAGGGAAAGTCCTCTGAGTTGGCTTCCCGCTGCGGGCAGAAGTTTCCCTCAGCAAACAGGAGCGGAACGACCAGCTGCGTGCAGAAACGGCTCTGCTGTTGTGAACGTATACGCCACACGTGACGCGCCTCAGGCTGCAGAGCATGGCCGCCGAACACAGCCCTTCTTTAACGACCCCCACAGCGGCCTCGTTTAGCTGCTAATCGGAGCTCGTTTGGTGGCTTTAAGGATGCCTTCAGGGAGCGTGGGCGTTTAAGGCGGCCCGTGACTCGCTGGCCTCCCTCAGGGCTGCAGAGTCATGTGACTGCGTTTAATTCCTCTGTGACCCGCGGGTCAGAGCGTGAGGAGCTGCAGTGGGCCTGAACCACGAGTCTGCAAACAGAAAACTACTCTAGCTTCAGATAAATGACCGCCCTGTCAGAATTTAGGACGTTTTGACGTCTTTTCAGCCTCCCTAAGAACATCGTTTACCGCCCAGCAGAGCAGAGATGCTGCTGGAACTCACCGAGATCCTCTAGAGTCCACTCAGCTGTTGGAAATGGGAAGCAGAGTTCCTACTGGTGCTTGAAATCCTTGGAAATGCTTGAATTACAAGTGCTGGGATTAATGCAAGCCCAGTAACGTCTGCATAAAGACGGATCAAGCTTGTCTCCGGTAAAATCAGGTGTGGAACCTGCGGGTCCAGCGGTGTCCACACCTCTCAAGACGAGGGACAAAAGTTTGGAGCCGTCACTAAAAAGAGACAAATTCTTTTATTTTACCTGCTAAACACACAAGATTGTCTGATTTCTGTCAACATCTGATCAGCTGTTCCTCAGCAGGTCCCCACCTCCAGCTTTGATCTGCTTCAGCGAGGCGGGTGAGGTCAGCGGGCTAATCTGGAGGTCTTGTTTCTGCAGGTGAGGGACTGTCCTCAGACCAGTTCTGGGTTTGTTCGAGTTTCCAGAGAGCTGAAGAACAAAGACGGCTACGGTCAGGTGGTCTTCTCCGGCTTCTGTAGGAAGGTACAGGAGGACCGATTCATTTTGAGTTTCATGTTCCACTGACTCGGCCCCTCCTAAGGCTTAATGGACGAATGAATGAGTGAATGAACCGTGACGGATGATTGGGTTTCTGGTTCCTGCAGGTGAAACAGGTCACATCAGAGACCAGGAGGACTCTGATGAATATAAATCTGTCGCTTCGTCCTGCGAAGCGTGAAGGAGCCGATTTATGTCAGAATATTTCTGTGTTTATCCTGAATAAAATATAAAAAAGTAAATGATGAAAAGTTTTGGGATTAAAACCTTTGAATGAGGCTCAAATAGACTTTAAAATGGCGGCTTCGCTTTTGTCTTCAAAGGTTTTTGTTTATTATTAGTCACCGGGAGTGTGTGTGTGCGTGTGTGTGTGTGCGTGTGTTTGTGTGTGGGTGTTTGTGTGTGTGTTTGTGTGCGTGAGTGCGCATGTGCTTGTGTGTGTGCGCGTGTGTGTCTGTGTGTGTGTGTGCATGCGCATGTACATGTGTATGTATGTGCGTGTGTGTGTATTTGTGCATGTGTGTGCGTGTGCGTGCATGTATGTTTGTGTGTGTGCGTGCATGTGTGTTTGTATGTGTGCGTGTTTGTGTGTATGTGTGTGCGTGTGTGTATGTGTGTGTGTATATGTGTGTGCGTGTGTGTGTGCTTGTGTGTGTGCGTGCTTGTGTGTGTGTGTGTGTGTGCATGCGCATGTACATGTGTATGTATGTGCGTGTGTGTGTATTTGTGCATGTGTGTGCGTGTGTGTGCATGTGTGTTTGTGTGTGTGCGTGCATGTGTGTTTGTATGTGTGCGTGTTTGTGTGTATGTGTGTGTGTATGTGTGTGTGTGTGTGTGTGTGCGTGCATGTGTGTTTGTATGTGTGCGTGTTTGTGTGTATGTGTGTGTGTATGTGTGTGCGTGTGTGTGTGCATGTGTGTGTGTGTGTGTGTGCATGTGTGTGCGTGTGTGTGCATGTGTGTTTGTGTGTGTGTGTGCATGTGTGTTTGTATGTGTGCGTGTTTGTGTGTATGTGTGTGTGTATGTGTGTGTGTGTGTGTGTGTGCGTGCATGTGTGTTTGTATGTGTGCGTGTTTGTGTGTATGTGTGTGTGTATGTGTGTGCGTGTGTGTGTGCATGTGTGTGTGTGTGTGTGTGCATGTGTGTGTGTGTGTGTGTGCGTGTCTCACCCCCTCAGGTGAACCGGTTCAACAAAAGCACGGACCGAGCTCTCCTCATCACAGACCAGTTCGTCTACAAACTAGAACCAAGGAAGCAGTTCAAGGTTCTGAAGAGGGTTCCTCTGGACCTGGTGAGTCCTCTCAGACCAGCTGACCAACTAATGACTACATGACCTGTCCCCTCAGATGAACGGTTACATTCAGTTCCTAAACCCCGTGGAGGTCAAAACGTTCCAGATCAGGATTCCCATCTTTTAACTTCTGAATTCCAGATGTTTCTCCTCAAAGAGAGAAAAATGAGGAAACCGCAGCAGAAACCAGCTGATGTGGGTCAGACTGTCTGACTGATCTGGGCCAGGACGCAGACAGAGGGACCCACGATGCTGGTTCTGTGCTGGACCAGGTCCACAGGGACACAGACATGTGAAAGTGACCCGGTCAGACCCTCCTGGGTCAGAAACGTTGGATTTGGGTCGTTTACTTGCAGGGTGAAGGTTCTGCTTCTGACAGCCCTTCACAGAACATCTGAGAGCATAGAAGTCGTTTCCTCTGAGCGTTCCTTCAGTCTGAGCCAGAAAAAGAAAACCGATCCAACAGGAAGTAAAACAAGCTCCGACTCAGCTGTTGCCTCCTGACCGATGAGGACATTTAGTCAGTTATGTCCCACTGGATGTCCTCTCCTGGAAAAGCGTCATGAGTGATGAATATAGTAAAGCTGGGACTGCTTCAGGAGGCTTTTCCTTCGTCACATTTCAGCAACATCAGCTTGTTTACATTTACGTCCGTTTGCTGCCTTCAGGGACAAACAGGAAAACAAAAATCATTTATTTATTTGTGAATGAAAACATCTGCCAGCGTAACGAGTCCCTGTGGGAAACGCTCCTGATCCTTGTGTGGTTTTGTTGGGAATGACACTAAAAGCAGAGCGGCGATCCGGAGGACGGGTTGTCCTAGAGTTCGGCATTGATGGAACCAGGACATCCAGCCCGCTGTCATCCTGCTGGATTAACCTGAGGGAGCTGGGGGCTGAGAGGTTTATAATCCACTCTGCCTCCCCGTCCTCTCCCGGCCGCTTGTCTCCTGGACACACCTGGACCCTCAGTCATCAAACTCTCCGATATTCCCTCCTATGGATGAAATGTGGAATGTGTCCAACCAGTCAAAAGACTGATTTATGAAACGTGCGGCGGCCTCTCGTACGCAGTCATCTGATGATGAATCCCACCTGTGCGTTCCCAGGTGCTTGTGTCCGTTCACCATCATTTACTTACAGAAACGCCCTCAATTAACCATATTTGGTCATGCTGGGGATTTCCTGTGGTTTAAAAAATTTTTTTTCAGAAAAAATAAGAAAAACTTTATTGACAGCGAGATCGAGACACTGGCTGCCAAAGCACAACGAACCAAACAAGTGTGAGAAGTTCTAAACGCAGTCGGGACAGCAGAGAGGTTGCTGTCCGGAGTAAATGAAAACCGGATCTGGTAAACGGTCGAGCAGCGTTCTCGTTTCCATGTTGGAGATGATGTCTGAGAGGGCAGCGTCGTCTGAGTCCGGCTGCGTGTGTGATCAGGAAGCAGAGGGGGCTCTGGGGGTCCTCGTAGTGCTAAAATAAAGTATGAATGGAGTCGGATTCATGAGTTTTTGTCTGTCGCGCCACAAACGGTCCCAAATCCCAGCAGAGCAGAAGGATTTGTTCCTCAGGGAGAACGCGTTCCCTCCAGAGAGCACGTTCTGTTAACCCTCCCGCTGCCTTTATGGGTGACCCCGCCAGTAAAGTTGACCATGGAGCAGGATTGATGGTTTGTCTCTTGAGGTCCACGTGGCAGGGGTGAGGTGGTGCTCACTCCTCACTCCACCAATAAGAGATCAGCCATGATATGATGTCAGATTCCCGTTGGTCACACGTGTCTTTTATTGGTTTTAGCACCAACTGCATACTGGGTAAATATACCTTCCGTGCTGCTGTTCCACGTTCCACCACTAGATGCTGCTCCCACGCAGGGTCACAGCTGTTCTTGCGTTTAGGAACTTGAGTACAAATGCGTAAAATCGTTCCCACGAACGAAATATGCACAGATCTGTTGGAGCGTACGGTTGATGAATGAGGACTCCTGGTTTAGACTAACGTTGATCTTCTCCCATCATCCAGCAGAACTAATCCTGCCAACATCTCTAACTATCTCTCTTTTATCGTCCTCTCAGATTAATGTGGTTCTCCTGTGGTGGACCAAAGAGCTAAACCTACTGGTCCCGTTTCTCCACAGTTTACTGGGCTGAGCGTGACCAGTGGGGTGGACCAGATGGCGGTGCTCCACACGTCCTCCCATGATGACGTCCTGATGTGTCTGCAGCCAGGAGAGCTGTGTCCCAACCAGGACCGGGTGGGCGAGCTGGTGGGCGTGCTAGTGGACCACTTCTCACGGTCAGTCCCAGATCTCTCTGGGTTCACCCCTTCACTTTCAGGATCGATCTTCTCCTGACGAGTGAACGAAACGTAACGTGTAGAAGAACGCCTCCGTGTTTGAGAATTTAAGGGAACATTTTATCTGTTCTTAAAGACTGAAATGATCCGCTGTTAGCAAACAAACAAGTCAGAAACCTCCCAAATATTTTGAGACGTGTTGGAGACTTCCTGGAGAATCACGATCACGCCATGACCAGTCATGATGATCTGTCACGACCCGAACTTAGAGGACCCGTGAAGACACCAAACACAGTAAGACAACTACCAGTCTTCAATAGCCTGAAACTATGAGGAGGTGTTACCGGAGTAATACTCAGGTAAGGGCAGAGTGGAAGGCAGATCGGGATGAAGCGGGTACAGGTAGCAGGCTAGAGACGTGGTCGTAGACAGGTGAGGGTCGTGGTGGCAGGCAGACTTCTTGGCGATGGTCAGGCGTGGAAACGAGGTCGAGAGACAATGATCAGGCAGGATGAAAAAGGCTGGAAGATCTGCTAGCAGGAGCGTTCAATAATCTGGCAGAGTGCTGGTGGCTGACTGTGGAATATATAGCTGGTGAGGCAGGTGTGTGGCATGAGCTTGATGGTGAGATGCTGCGGTTGCTGATGAAACGGCTTGGCTGGAGCTTGATGAGGGGACCAGGTGTGATGCATGAAGGCTGAGGAGGTGAATGATGGTGCACGGAGGTCAGGGCGTGGCAGGATCCTGACAGAAACGAGGAATAAAGTCGCTGAGCGTTTACGCAGAGAGTCACTAACAGCTGATAGTGTTTCTGTTATCAGCTCCGAGTAACGAAGCAGGCGCTCCGACATCCATCATCACTGTTTATAAATCTGATTCATGTCCACTCACACTCCTCTCAGCCTGCAGGTTTTCACACGGAGCGCTGTATGTGTGTGTGTGTGTGTGTGTGTGTGTGTGTGTGTGTGTGTGTGTGTGTGTGTGTGTGTGTGTGTCCTGAAGCGTTAATCCTCCAGATCCTGCCAGGTCCTCCTCGAGTGACGTCAGCAGCAGCAAACCAACACACGCTGTGTTTCATGTCAACAACAATATTTGGTTTTATTAGTGTAATTTTAGTGCCGCTGCTTCACAATGCTGTCTCAACTTGCCCCTCGGGGACTAATAAAGTTGCTCGAGTCTTAAAACAGTTAGAAAAACGTCCTAAAATGCAGGAATGTTTACAAATTAAACAAAACAATAAAATAAACACAGAATGTTTGCATCGCTACGGAACATTAAAATCTTCCTGTAGATCTTTAGAAGAAAGGAAAATCCAGGTTTTTCCAACATTCCTCATGGAAGAGCTTCATATCAGGAGGTATAGAGCTCCGGGAGTTGACGTCACTTCTCCCGGCATGCAACAGTTCAAATCGAAACTGCGCCATCTTGGCAGGCAGAAGCCGGCAGCTGGACTATTTGTTATTGTCAGAAAACTCAATCAAACGGGAAATATGGTAGATTCCTGTTGTGCCCCAGGATGCAGAACAGAGGCGGACACATAAGGAATGAGCCGTCTACAGGATTCCCCAAGATCCGGAGCGCCGCAAACGTTGGATCATTGTAATAAAACGCGCTAGTGACCGAGCTAAAATGAAGCTGTGTGATCCCGAGAGTAAAGGTTTTCACTTATGCAGCGACCGCTTCATATCAGGTACTTAAACCAACGTTTCCTCAACTGTGTATGGTATTTATTTTAAATGCTTTTATTGCGATTCTTAAGCCGGGCGTACACTGTGAGACTTTTTCACTTTTTTCAGTTGATTTTCCACTCTTGCGAGAATCCACGAGATCGGGGCGAGTTTAGCGCTGAGCGTCGTGTAGTGTACAGGGGGTTACGAGAGGCGATTAACACCACGTGACCAGCTGCTGATCAGCAGTCGTGAGCTCGCACAAACTTCTGGCGTGTTTGATATTTTGCTCGTCCCTCGTGAGGGTATCGCACTGTTGAAGCGGCGCTGCTAGCAGCTGCGACCCAAAAAGTATCAGAACCGCTCACGGCGCATGCGCAATCCTGCATCAACACCGCTCACCCGCTATTTCCCTAATAACACACGCTGTTCGTTTTTATTTCTACACGTTTTTTTACTCACAAAGATTGTCAAGAAAGCGTGTTTGTCGTGTTCATGTCTAATTAAACTGATCACAAAACACAGATTTACTTTCTTTATTTCGTTTCCTCATCCAACCCCCATAAATCCCTGTGTGTCCTCCTGCAGCACTCCCGAAGGACAACAGGCAAAACAAGACAAAAAAGTCTGACGTGTTGTGTAAAAACTATTTTTAGCATATTTTTAGGTCCGACGTGCTGCTACCAGGCTAAAGTGTGAGCCGTCAGGTCGCATTCAAGAACCGGGTCGTACAGTGTGAGCGCATGACTCGTGAGATCTGCTCTGTGACGAAGTCGTACAGTTTGAGCTGAAGCTGAACGCTGCGAGTGAAAAAGTCGCACAGTGTACGCCCGGCTTTAGTGGGCTTCCTACACTTATTTTGGCGTGGCTTTTTCTGTCTTATTACTCATAGCAACAAGTAAACGTCACATAAAACGTTGCCTCGTGAGTTCTGCGTGCTGCCGTTTCCGTGTTTTATGATCACAGCAATTAACCGGCTAAGCTGTATTTAATTTTTAAGCAATGGTTGATCAATTGTCAGATCACACATAAAAAGCACTTTGGATTGCTATTATCTGTCTCACCGAGACAGATCTCAGACAGATCCTGAGACGCTCCTGCCTGACATATTTATTTTATTCATGGAAAAACATCAAACTAGTGATTTCTCTTGGCGTTCAGTTTATACATTCAAACAGCACAGCACTCTATTTATACTACTTACGTGTAAATCTGTCATTTGTCCATCCATCCATCCATCCATCCATTTTCATCCGCTTATCCGGAGTCGGGTTGCGGGAGCAGTAGCGTAAGTCGAGAGGCCCAGACTTCCCTCTCCCCAGCCGCCGGAGCCAGCTCCTCTGGGGGAATCCCAAGGGGTTCCCCGGCCAGATCCGGGAAGATGTCCACTCCGACAGCTTCTGGCGTTTTTAAAAAGTATCCCAGGGGCACGGTAAGGGTCGGAGATGTTTAGTCTATTTAATTTCTTCGATTTTAAAGTGTGAAGTAAACTCCGATGAAGTAAAATCCAAGCCGATCCCGTTCACGTTCATGGTTACGATCCGTGTTTGTTTAGCTTCTTTTACCTGCCAATATGGCGTCTACTAACTGAGAGTCACGTGGGGTCCGGAGCTCTATTTACGCCATGTTTCATATTTATGACATTAACAAAGACTGAAGCTGTCCTTTTATATTCTGAGACCTGTTTGATGATGATGATGATGATGATCAGGATGATGATGAAGATGATGATGATCAGGATGGAGATGATGGTGATGATGATGATCAGGATGATGATGAAGATGATGATGATCAGGATGATGATGATGATGATGAAGATGATGAAGATGATGACGTGTCTCCTGATGTTTATTTAGTCCTGAGGTTCACCTGGAAACTTCCGGCTGCTCCAACATGGAGGTGAGCTTTATTATCTCTTACATCAGAGCATCTCGTTAGCTAAACCGGAGGCTAACGGATGTTCTCACTTCAGGGAAACCTTTCAGAAAAGTTCTCCTACTAAACCTCCGATGTTTGTTTTATTATAGTTCGTGGTAAAGGTTATTTTCGCAGCGCACCTCTTCTCCTCAGCCCTCTTGACTCTTTCGGGGGAGTTTAGCCTTCGGAAAAGGCTGGATTTGGAATGGTGTGCTTTTATTTTTTGGTTTCAGGATATAAATGTCGGTGTTGACTCACTCTGGTTTTAGTTTTTGTGTCTGGTGTCAGCAGATGGCAGCGCCACAAGTCCCCCGAGCTGATCCCAGATCACCAACAAGGCTTTTGTGGTTTTTATGAGACTTTTGGTTGTTATTTTCCTTTGGGTGGTGAGTGTGTGTGTGTGTTTGTGTGTGTGTGTGTGTGTTTGTGTGGGGGTGGGGTGGGGCTATGTTCCTGCAGCAGCTGCTGGGCTCTGGTCCGGCTGCGCTGAGCTTCTCAGAGGAGAGCAGATCTTCAGGGTGTCGTTTCAGCTCTGCCTGTTTTTGAGCTACCATCTGTAGTGAGCGAAGGGGTCGTGACCTCCTGTGACATCGTCGGGGCTGAGCCGTGCAGGAATGACACAAAAACGCTTGTCTTCTGATTCCTTCTGTCAGGAAATCAGCGGGCCAGCGCAGTTAGCTAATGACGCGCGCCCAGAACCCATAAAACCAGTCAGGAAAACTCCAGATTCTTCCTCTTAATGTAAATTCTGTTATCTTTAGTTTAAACGACCAAAATCATCACGTGAAGATCTGAACGGCTCTTTAGGGGCTCCTGGTTTTCAGATCAGGGTCAGTGGAGGCGGCATTAGCCCCACTTCCTGTCAGGACGACGCAGACGAGCCGCCTGGCTCTGTGCTCGTAGCTCATCCCGGTTCTCCCTCCTCGGTTTGGATCCACATCCGTCGGTATGTTTGTTGGGAGGGTGAAGTGTTTGTTTTTTGGGATGGGGGGGTCGGACCATCTGTCGGGACAGCTGGGGGGGTGGGAGGACCAGGAGCGGACTAAAAGCAGGATTTAGGGCTTGATCTGCTCTGACTTAGAGATTTAGGAGGTTTTTTATTTAAAAGGTAATTTGGGAGTTCTTCTCCCTTAATGACCTCACTGGAAGTTCTTCACGGCGGAAAACGTGAATTTTTAGACAAATGTGAGGTTTTTCAGTTTGTTTGTGTTTGGTTAAACAACAAACTGATGATGTCAGGGTTTCTGAAGTCTTCCTCCTCCTTCCCCTGCAGCACTTGAACTTCTAAATATGCAGAGAGCTGAAACTGCTGCATTAGTCGTCATCTTCTAGGTCACCCCTCCCTGTGAGGAGCAGCAGGAGGAGCAGAGTGACTCCATTAACCCCAAATCAGACGTGAGCCGTGCAGCCCGCTCCAGGACTGTTGTTTAACCTCGGAGAGGAAGTCTAAATTCACTTTTTAGGTCGCGCTGATCCTGAAATAGCCTCCTCTGCCGTTTCTGTCCCTCAGCGACTGTCCTCGATGTTTCCGTCTCGCTGTCGGCCGCAACGCCGCCCGGCCCGTCTGCTCTTCTCAGGTCAGCGCCCAGAATCAGAACTTTTGCTCTTGCAGGCTGAAGCATGAAGCGGTGATCTTTAAATCAACCTTGATAGATTTTCTGCACTTTTCTTTTTTCTACCTTTCTAGATTTTGAAACCAGAGTACCAGACCTCAGGTCCACAGCCTCCTCCGTGTGAAAGCACACCCTCCGGCCCAGAACAGCCTCGTGACCTCTGGGCTCGTCTGTTCAACGTGAAAAATCTGCGTCTTCTCACTGACGCGGAGCTGTCGGCTCCCTTCAGACGAGGAAGACGAGCAGTGTTTCTAACTCGGCTGTTCGGGGACCTTCAGGTTGGGCGGCGGCGCCGTTGGGTCGGCCTGATGGAGATCTGGTGTTTTCATTAGAGCCGAGGAACCCGTTCGGATGCACCACGGGCGTTTGAGACGCTGGCTTTGCATGTGAAGTCATGTCTTGGTTTAGAAAGCCGTGGATGTTGTTGTGACTGACTTTTTCCCAGAATGCCCCCTGACGAGACTCGGGACGCGGGCTGCAGCTAGTGGAGAGGGACCTGCTGGGCCCGATGACGCTGATGGTAATCAAAATGGACGAGGTTGTCGATGATGACTCGTTAAACTCCGCAGGAGGTTTGGATCCCCGACGGCTTGAACGGGGGTGGGAGGGGTCAGAGCCGGAGATGATGCTGTTGCCCTGGAGATTGTTTCCAGGAAGCAGGAAGTGTTGGTTGTGATTCAGGTGGATGCTCGTTCTGGTGACAGGAGGAGACAGGACCGTCTTTAGTTTAAACCAGAAACAGGAAATCAGGCTGCGTCTCCTTAAGTTACGTTCTCCAGTAAAGCGTTGTTTATGAGCTAAATCTGTTTCTGTACTGAAGATGTGATGTGATGCCTTCAGAGACACGCAGGAGAAACAAACGGCTGAAACTGAGCCAATTATGTGAAGTCAATCATATCCCTTCATAAATGAACGGAACATCAAAGACACCTGCTGGTTCAGGTAGAAACACACCTGGAGAGGGTCCAGCATGCGTTCAAGCTGCAGTTTCACCTCAAAGCTCCGACTGATTCACTTCCTGTCATCCATGGGTTAGGGTTACTCAACCGTGTGCTTTTCCACCTTCCAGTGAGGTGAAAATATTCCATAACTGCCAGATGTTCCCATGTGGATAAAAATATTCCCATTTGGGTAAAAACAGGAAGAGCGCAGACGAGCGAACACTTCAGTCAGTGTCCAAACAGCCTCTCTTCTGCTCCTTTCTGAGGTTCTGACCCGCCTCGTAGCCCTCTGGGATCCATCTTCAGCCGAGGAAAACAAGCAAATCCCAATGAGGAGATGGTAATTCCTCCAGAGTTTCATGTAAAACCTCTCATTGGCAGCAGTAGCTCAGGTGACAGAGCGGGTTGCCTCATGATCGGAGGGTCATGGGTTCGATTCCAGCTCCCGCCAGGGGCATCCTGCTGTTGTGTCCTTGGGCAAGACACTTAACCCAACTTGCCTGTGTTAGTCAGAGGGGCCGACGGCGCCAAATGGCAGCCTCGCCTCTGTCAGACCTCCCCAGGGCGGCTGTGGCTACAAGTAGCTTACCATCACTAGCAGTGTGTGAATGTGTGAAAGCGTCTCTGGGTGTCTAGAAAAGCACTATATAAGTTCAATGCATTATTATAATAATAATAATTATTATTATTATTATTGATTAGGATCACCAGAGCTTTTTGGTTCCATTAAAGACATCTAATGGAGGGTGTGTGTGTGTGTGTGTGTGTGTGTGTGTGTTCTGACTGATGATGGAGTTGTGGGAAGCAGATCCTGATGAATCTGCAGCAGCTCGCAGCTTCTCCGTCCAAGAACGTTAAACCTGGGTCGGTCTTTTAAACATCTCATTGAATCCGTATCGGTCAGAGCACATCTTCATTTCTGCGGCTCGTTAACAGAAAATTCATGCAGAAAATCTCTAAACGAGGAGATGAGCTTCAGTAAAAGCTGCAACTCGCTGGTCAGGTTGGATGAGCAAGAAGAGCGCGGGCTCCTCCGCCCGTCTGCCAAACCTTTTTATTTCAAATAGAAGTTTCACTAAAACAGATCAGTTTAAACGTCTGAGATCGCTCAGAAAGGCTGTTGGTGCTCCTGTTAGGATGGTCGTCTCCGCTGGACTGGACCAGTTACAACCAGACTGCCCTCTACCAAAAACCAGGTGTGTCAAGCACCAAATCACCATTTAAACTTGGACGGTTAATTATAAACTAACAAAAATGTCAAGCCAGACGCGGCGGGTAACCTCGCTCACTATTTCAGCAAACTGGAAGGGGTCTCTAGTCTGAACGGACCCCTGTAGGTCGTTCTGTGTGGATGAGAAGCTCCTGTTGTTGGAGGAGTGAGGTGGGATTGAAGATTTCTGGAATATGAGTTTTGCTCATTCATTTCCATGATATGCACAGGGTATCTGCAGGTCCTTAAAAAGTCTTAAATTAGCTTTTCCAAATTTAAGGCCTTAAAAATCCTTAAAAATGACAAATAATCCTTAAATAGTTTCCAAAGGTCTTAAATTACCAAAGACCCAATAAACAAGATTCTTTTATTTCTATAAAATTTTCGTGAATTTCTAATTAGTTTGGCATTTTTTGTGTACGATACTGGCGTAAGCGGAACCGTACACATTCGGTTGGTTGTGAAAGGGGGCTATTTTTAGATGAGCATGCTAGTGGGAGTTTGCGCCATGGGGAAGACATGGCAACATTAATGGTAACTGGATGGCTAATCCCACATTCACGACGTGGTTAGCATCGGTTCCAGGCAATAGCTGGAAATTATAGCTTAAATTTAATTTTAAAAAATAGCTTAAATTTGGTCAAAGTGGCCTTAAAAAAGGTCTTAAAAAGTCTTAAATTGGGCTCCCTTAAACCTGCAGATACCTTTATGCAAACATATCGCCTCTGATTGGCTAACAGCGACGCGACTCTCCCGCTGCTTCAGTTTGCTCTTCTTTCTTGGGTAAAAATCGCAACCTTGATGTTTTCTCTTTAGAAATAACACAAGCCAGACTTTGGAGTGGCTAATGCTAGCAGTTAGCTTCTTCTAGCCAAGAAGCTTTCTCCTCTCTGTGGGTGGTCCCAAACCAAGCTGGGCGGGGTTACGAATTTCCTTGTGACGTTGGAGAGACTGGCTTTTTCCATCCCGGCTGCTGTCTTGTCTTTTTTTCTTTCTGCAACTGATGCAGAAGATGGAGTTGGAGAAGGTTGTCGTGTTCTGCATGCATATTTAGCTCAGAGTGACCAATCGTATTTCAGAAAGAACAAGTGTTCCACAGTTTCCGTGGAAACCTTAAACGGTTAATCTCTATTTGACTGGAACCTCGTCAGGGGCCTGCCCCCACCGGAGGGTTCGTTATGTCCTTGGACAAGATGCGTGGTGGTCTGAGGAACCGGTGGCCCCAGTGCTTCGCAGCCTCGCTCCCGTAAGTGTGATCCTGAGCAGCTGTGGCTAAAATGTAGCTCGTCCCCACCGCCGCATGTGTTAGTGGGTGAATGACTGGTTGTGTTACAAAGAGCCTTGGGGGGTTGTAGAACTCTAGAAGGCATTAGGTCAAAGGTCATTTTTTAAAATAATTCATTTTCTTCCTGTGCTCCTCTGCCTTGTGGGGTTCCCTTGGTCCGATACCATTTTGTCTTCATTTGCTGCTGATGGGAGCGTTTATAGCTCAGCATCACCTGCCTCTAAAACCAGGTAATGGTGACTCAGCACTTCCTCGCTGATGGGAAACAGTAGTGAAATCAAAAAGCCTTGTTTCTGGAGAAGCTAAAGACCGAACACATCCTGGTTTGATACCACAGCTCCGGGTTTTACCTTCAGCACCTCCGGGTTTTACCTTCATCAGCTCCGGGTTTTACCTTCATCAGATCCGGGTTTTACCTTCAGCAGCTCCGGGTTTTACCTTCAGCAGCTCCGGGTTTTACCTTCAGCAGCTCCGGGCTTTACCTTCAGCAGATCCGGGTTTTACCTTCAGCAGCTCCGGGTTTTACCTTCAGCAGATCCGGGTTTTGCCTTCAGCAGCTCCGGGTTTTACCTTCAGCAACTCCGGGTTTTACCTTCGGCAGCTCCGGGTTTTACCTTCGGCAGCTCCGGGTTTTACCTTCAGCAGCTCCGGGTTTTACCTTCAGCAGCTCCGTGTTTTACCTTCATCAGATCCGGGTTTTACCTTCAGCAGCTCCGGGTTTTACCTTCGGCAGCTCCGGGTTTTACCTTCGGCAGCTCCGGGTTTTACCTTCAGCAGCTCCGGGTTTTACCTTCAGCAGCTCCGGGTTTTACCTTCAGCAGCTCCGGGTTTTACCTTCATCAGATCCGGGTTTTACCTTCAGCAGCTCCGGGTTTTACCTTCAGCAGCTCCGGGTTTCACCTTCAGCAGCTCCGGGTTTTACCTTCATCAGATCCGGGTTTTACCTTCAGCAGCTCTACCTTCAGCAGCTCCGGGTTTTTACTTTCGGCAGCTCCGGGTTTTACCTTCATCAGATCCGGGTTTTACCTTCGGCAGCTCTACCTTCAGCAGCTCCGGGTTTTTACTTTCGGCAGCTCCGGGTTTTACCTTCATCAGATCCGGGTTTTACCTTCAGCAGCTCCGGGTTTTACCTTCAGCAGCTCCGGGTTTTACCTTCAGCAGCTCCGGGTTTTACCTTCATCAGATCCGGGTTTTACCTTCGGCAGCTCTGGGTTTTACCTTCAGCAGCTTCGGGTTTTACCTTCAGCAGCTCCGGGTTTTACCTTCATCAGATCCGGGTTTTACCTTCGGCAGCTCTACCTTCAGCAGCTCCGGGTTTTACCTTCAGCAGCTCCGGGTTTTACCTTCATCAGATCCGGGTTTTACCTTCGGCAGCTCTGGGTTTTACCTTCAGCAGCTCCGGGTTTTTACTTTCGGCAGCTCCGGGTTTTTACTTTCGGCAGCTCCGGGTTTTACCTTCAGCAGATCCGGGTTTTACCTTCAGCAGCTCTGGGTTTTTACTTTCGGCAGCTCCGGGTTTTACCTTCAGCAGATCCGGGTTTTACCTTCAGCAGCTCCGGGTTTTTACTTTCGGCAGCTCTTGGTTTTACCTTCAGCAGCTCCGGGTTTTACCTTCAGCAGATCCGGGTTTTACCTTCAGCAGATCCGGGTTTTACCTTCAGCAGCTCTGGGTTTTTACTTTCGGCAGCTCCGGGTAGCAGATCCGGGTTTTACCTTCAGCAGCTCCGGGTTTTACCTTCAGCAGATCCGGGTTTTACCTTCAGCAGCTCCGGGTTTTACCTTCAGCAGCTCCGGGTTTTACCTTCAGCAGATCCGGGTTTTACCTTCAGCAGCTCCGGGTTTTACCTTCATCAGATCCGGGTTTTACCTTCAGCAGCTCCGTGGCAAATCTGGCCAGCTTTTTGATTTCATAAACAACTGAAATAGTTTTTACTTCTAGCGTTTAGCTAAGGTGAAGCCTGTTTTGATCCCTTCGATGATCTTGTCTGGTTTTCAGCGCTCTTTGTTGGCTGTTTTGTGAAAGGCTTCATAAAATAATACATGAATGAATGAATTTAGGTTTATAAGAGAAAACTGGTTCTTCTGAAGCTTCTTAAATCACAACATATTTCATCAGTGATCCATTTTAGAGCAAATAGTTTTTCTCTGCAGTGAAATATTCGGTTTAGCTGGGAGAAAATGAGTTGGTCTCACTTTTATGTTTGATTTAACTTCCTGTTGGCATCTCCTTGGCACCTTTCTTCCCTCTGATTGGACGGAGGACAGATGGTGTGCAGATATTAGCATTTTCCATGCAGCCTGTACAGAAACAGCTGGAGTTCGTGTGTGAACCCAGATCTGGCTTTAATAACTCAGCTTTGAGGTTTTTTACTTTTACTTAGGTCCTTCAGTGTCTGTAGCAAGATGCTGCAGATCTTCTACAAGTCTGTTGTTGAGAGTGTAATCTCTTCAGCCATCGTCTGTTGGGGTAGCAGCATCAGAAGCAGGGACCTGAAAAGGCTCATCAGCCTAATAAAACAGGCTGGTTCTGTTCTGGGGACGACTGTGGAACCGCTGGAGGAGATAATGCAAAGAAGGATTCTCCAGAGAATCAAGAAAATGATGGACAACCCTGAGCATTCTCTTCACAAGACTGTCCGACAACGGAAGAGTGTCTTCAGTCAGAGGCTTCTTCAGTTTGGCTGCAACACTGACCGCTACTGGAGATCCTTCCTGCCAACAGCCGTTGTAATATACAACAACTCTTTGATGACTTGATTATTATTATTATTCTGAGCTACTACAGCAATCAGTTTCCCTCTGGGATTAATAAAGTATTGTTGAATTGAATTGACGTCGTCAGTTCACCGCTTGCAGGTGGCTCAGAATGCGGCAGCTCGCTTGCTGACAGGTAGGAGGTGCAGGGATCACATAACACCGGTCTTACAAGCTCTTCACTGGCTCCCGATCACTTACAGGATTCAGTTTAAAATGCTACTGATCTGTTTTAAGGCACTACACAACTTGGCCCCTCCCTATCTGTCGGAACATTTAAACGCTCATGTCCTCAAACGAACCCTTCGATCATCCTCTCTACATCTATTATCTGTCCCCAGTCTAGGCTGAAGTCCAGAGGCAACAGAGCCTTGTGTGTGGCCGCTCCCCAGCTCTGGAGCAGCCCTCCCCTACAGATTAGGTCTGCTAACAGCCTTTCTGCCTTTAAGCCCCTGCTTTTGGCTGATTTTAGGGTCTACTGGATGGTTGTCAGTGTTTTATCATTTTATTTCTACTGCTCGTCCGTGTACAGCACTTTGTCTCTGACTGTTGGCAATGGGCTCTATAAATAAACTTGACATTGACAACACACTTGTTAGCGGTCATTAGCACAATTCTGATTGGGCATGTCTCCATTCTGTGTGTAAGGTTTTTGGGTAGCATTCCCAGTACAAACCATTTTAACTGAAATAGGAATTCCACTTTCAAGGTTCTTTCAATTTCTCCTTGAACACCTTCCCAGAGCGGTATGATGTTGGGGCAGTCCCAAAACACATGTGAAGAATCTCCCACTAGCCCGCATCTTCTCCAGCATCAGTTAGAAACGTTACGATATTTAGACATAAGTGGAGTTTTAAAGCAGCGCATCTTCACCTTCCATTCAAGTTCCCTCCAAGACGGACTGTTAGTCAGTTTGTGGCCTGCTTCAAGTGTTTCCTCCCATTCCTCATCTGTTATGTTCGCTTCCAGTTCCCATTTTTCTTCAAGATCTGTATTCCTAACAGTGGAATCCTGTTGTAAAGCTTTATATATTTTTGCAATCAGTCCTCTCTCTGACTCGTCCTTTCTGTTTAACATCACTTCCTCCATTTGAAGTTTGTCTTTGCTGATTTCACCTTTTTCCTTATGGTTCTGAAGACCGTGTCGTACCTGTAGGTATTTATAGAAGTCACCCTTTGGTAAGTTAAATTCCTGTTTGAGTTGCTCCCGTAAACAACCGGTCAATAAATATCAACCCATCACTTCACCATCTTTCACAACAAATGTCCATTAAGCACGGTTTAAAGTCTGGAATTGTTGCTATTTTTGTCGCACCACTAACTGATCTTGGAACGTTCATCGTCTTTTTTATGGTCGTCCATATTTTAATACAGTAGTTCTGGACTGTAAGGCTTCTCTGAACGGTCTTATTTGTGAAGGGGAGCACTTCTACTGGCATCTTGGGGCATGCTCTCTGTTCCACGTCCACCCAGATAGTGTCTTTCTCTTGGTTCATCCTCAATATCAGTATTTTAATTTGGGCTGCCCAATGTTTCTCACACTTTCTGATTCATGGAAACTGGGAACAATTCCACATGTTATGAGAGGAAATTTACTTAAGACATTTTCTTTGTGATGTACAAAAATCTACAAAAGTATCGAGGAAGAGGAAATGAAGGGTTCTTGTAAACATCTCCTGATATTTTGGAAACTCCTAGCAAACCTGCTGCTAGCGAGGTTCTGGATTTACTTCCAGTCTAGAACTCCTGATCCAGTCCAGGGCCGTATCTCAGTACCCAAGTACACCAGTATGTTCTTGTGTACTTGACAAGTATGTTCTCGGCTAGTACAGCAGGAAGTCCGTCCTACGGGAGGACAAGGATGGCGTTCGGGACAGAACCGTACGCCGTTACGTCACGACAACAAGCGTTGCTTTATGTTTACACAAAAAATAAAAGTAACAAAATAACAAAAAAAACATAAGTTGTATAATAGTCGGTCAACTTTTGATCAAACCTGATAAAGTATCCGCTGTTCCTGTTGTTAAATGAAGAGAAAAATGTACTTTTCATCAAACCAGAGCTATTTAAAGCAACGATGCTTTTATTTTGAAAGGGGATTCGCTAATTAGCATTTTTGAGGAATCATGAAGAGTCTGGGAAAAAAACAGCAAATGTTACAGGTTACACACGATAATCTACAATAACAGACAACTTCCATTAAAATCTCTAATAAATATAATTATTTGTATTTTCGACATAAAAACCTCCGTCATGAACTTTCTGCTCCGCCATTTTCTGTTCGGCCTTTGCAATGCAGTGCATTATGGGATACCTTGCCAGCAGCAATGCATCCTCCATACAGTGGGCGGGGCAAGAACACATCTGAAACCTTTGAGAGTACTTGCCATGATGAGTATTGAAGGTTGGAACAGTACTTGGGCCATCGTGAGTACACAAGTTAGTCCAGAACTTCTTGTAGTCTTTCTGGCTCTTCGGTTCTCCAGAACACGCTGGCAGGACTTCACCGGGTGGAGAGGTCGTGATGGGCGGAGCCTCTGGAAACGGCTGATGTTTGAGCTCAGAGAACAAACACAGACAACGATCTGCTGATGAGCCAGACCCGGCAGCAGCTCTGCAACAGAACCAAAGTCCAGAACAGAACCAGAACCCTGACTTTCTAAGAGTTTACTTTTCAAACCTCAGGAGTTTTGTGCAGATTTCTCTGTGACTCACCTGATAAACCAGAACATCGTTGCATAACAGGTAAAATTATGTAATCTGCATAAATTAAATTCATCATCCGAACACGAGACTTTCCTTCTGATGTTCAGCCGCGGTGCTGAATCAGATCAGTCTGAGAGCAAAACAGGAACCCTTTCAACAGCTCATCAGTCACTTCCTGCCAGAAAAACAATCCGACTCGCCAAGTTGGCTGGAAACCGGGAGCCAGAGCAGCTGATCAGCCTCGGCCTCCACAAATAGCTGCCCGCTTCAGGGCGAGTCGCCGGGGGAAATGGCCGTCGAGCCGAGGATCCCCGAGAGCTGCTTCATGCTGTCGGGGAGGGGGAGGGGCCTGCAGGCAGGTGTGATCAGCAGGTAGAACTACCCAGGTGTTCGGTTCATCCGGGGAGGAAGGGTTCCAGTCAACATGGAGTCAGTGGGCGTAAAACCAGTAACCCACTGGGATGTGACTGGGGAGGGGAAACAGCATTTTCTTGGGAATGTCACAACTAGTTCAGCTACTGGATCCCAAAACAAATCCTACCACTCTTGTGATTCTCACCTTGTGTGTCTGTTCCAGGGTCCGGAACGGTCCGTTTCACGTGAAGGTGTGCTGCTCAGCTCTGCAGCTCCAGATGAGAGGAAGACCCAAAAGCGTCACCGTGGAAACCAAGCCGGGTCAGACCATTACAGACTTCAAGAAGAGTCGAAACGGCTTCGTCCTGCTGCTTCCGGCCAACTGACCAAGAGCAGACCCCGCTGTCAAATGCACTTCAGTCCAGTTGTTAACGTAGTATTTTATTCAAAATAAAAGCACTTTTACATCATTTGGGTACACCTTGGTAAAATAAGCAGATCCAGCTGCACTCCGGAGCTTTAACGAATGGCTTCCTGTCTCTAAATTCACTTAATCTAGTGAGTCACGGCAGAAACGGGCGTCAGATCCGCGGCTGTTAGAGACTAACCTCTTGTTTAATCATCTCCTGATGAGTTTTCAGCTGCTGCTGGAGGAAAAACGCATCCAGAGGCCAGAAATAGTCCTGGTTCATTCCATCAGGACTCCGCTGATCAGCGCCCTGCTCAGGAGATAGCGTTAGCCTCCGTTAGCACATGATGAACATTTACGAGAAGCTCTAGAAGCTTTTTAAATTAAATGTTATATTGCAGTTATCTGTGTTTGAACTTAAGAAAAGGTGAAAGTGATCGTATCCAGTCAGACTGAATCTGTCCACGACGCTCCTCCTACTCTGAGATTGTTGAAGGAAACACTTTCAGGCTCAGATTTAACAATCTCAGCTTTTGTTGTTCATCAGGAAACCTTGATTTGACTTGACGTACATTTTTAACCGTTAAATGGTTGTTTTTACGTCACGTAGATTCTTCAAAATCACCTTCCTACAAAATAAAAGCTCAGATCAAGAAATGAAACTAAATTCATTTAAGCATTTCTGTTAGTTTACCTCTTAATGGCCGCTGCTGCTTTTAATAGAAAAAATATAGTTTTTCATTCAAACAAATGAATATTTTGATTAATGAACCCATAATCCCAACATGTTGGATCGCAAACATCAAACATGAAGCATTCATATATTCCCTGTGAGTCCCACGTCTGTGATTTATAATCTGTGACTTTAATCCCGCCCACCACTTCGTGTTAAATGTAAATCCTACCTGAACATCGAAGCTGGAGGTGCTTGTAGCGTGTTAGCTATCCTGCTAATCTGATTGGTATTCTTGGACTTTCCAAACCAAGCTAAGAGTTTTCCAAGGAAACCGGGATAGAAATAGTTCTGATTCCAACCAGGATTAAATAAATTAGTCTTTAGTTTATTTTCGGGACTTTCTTTGCCTCTGAGCTCCCGTTGGGGTTGTTTTTCATCCCAACCAGTCTGGGATTGGGAGTGAAATCGGTCGGATCTAAACAGAGTTCTGAGTGAGTCTGTTGTTGCTCCTCTTAGTTACTGATGACTGAAGGCCATCTTCCCCGTCATGTTCACATGACACAGATTACAGAATAAATGTTGAACTTTATTGAGTGTAATCCTGTAATAATCTCTGTGAAAGTCCAGATGGATCTGGTTTAAGGTGGCAGCAGCTTCTGGAGCCTCCGCTCTCATCACCAGGTGTGTTTTCAGATCATTCGGGTCGTCGTCACATCAGACGTTTTCATTTAGATTCACAAAAGAATCAGGATTTATTCTTGTTTTAGGAAGAAAAGGTGAAAGTTTGATGCCAGCAACAGTTTTTGTCCCATTCTTTATAAATATTTAAAATCAACTTTACTTTGATTTGATCCAAAATATTTACATTCGATTTTTAATATGGTCAAACTGGTAAATGTCCTGTATCTGATACAGCGCCTTCTAGTGTCCTGGAGCCCCCCAAGGCACTTTACAACACAATCAGTCATTCACCCATTCACACACACATTTAATATATTTAATTCTAAATATTTGAATTTTTTAAATATATTTAGATTTAAATTTAAGTATTAAGATTTAACTATTTACATTAATTTAAAAAATGCAAAACTGGATGTAAAATTTTTAATTTGTTTGGAAAAAATGTGAAATGTTTCAGTTTCATTTAAAACGGTTAGCCCTGGTTTTAAATATTTAGTTTTTCTACGAATATTTAGATTCATGTGTAATATTTTCAGTTGATGCCTTTTAGGCTTAAATGTTTAAACTTGATTTGAACTATTTAGATTTAGTTTTATTTTATCTTTAGAACTTTTAGATTCAAACATTTTCTTTCGGTTTTCCGATGATCTGAACGCATTTTTAGGTATTTAGATTTGATTCTAAATATTTATGTTTTACTTTAATGGTTGTATTGATTCTGAATATTCATCGTTGTAATTAGAAGCCTAACGTGGTCCCATTTAGCTGTAGTTTTTTATGTAGTATTTGATCGGTGCTCCTTACGCTCCCGTCAGCTAAAACGTGTAACAAAAAGCTGGTTTTCAGACTCAAACACAACATTTTAATCAGCAGGAATGTCGATGGAGCCTGACAGAGTTTGTTGTTGTTTACAAACAGGATTCCTCCACGGCTAATCTAATTTATCAGGAGAGGGAAACGTTGATGCAATCCCTTAATGTGCCGAGCAATTCCATTACATAGCGGCCGGCACCTGGTCCGTCTCTGGAGCTTAGCAGCGCTGCAGCCAGGATTTGGTAATGAGTTGGGAGGATTTACCGGGGAATATAATGTGTCCCAGAGCTGTTGTGTTTCTCTTCCCTAAATCCTCTCAGAGCAGAACAGGGCAGGTTTGGTGAGTCCTGCTGCTTTTCCAGCATCTTTCCGTCATCAGGCTGAGGGGAGGTCACATGCTGGAGATTACAGAGGCAACAAGTGCTTATTAATCAGGAAATGTTGGAAAAAGCAGCGTGACCAAAGTTTAAGTGGCAGCATGAGGAAACACTCACAGGCATCCCAAAACATTCCCGTCTGATGTTCAGCCTCATCCATAACGCTGTTCTAAAATCTCATTTGATTAATAACGACGTTGGATCTTTTAGAAAGGTCCAGCAGCACCAACGCTACAGAGGAATGAAGCGACTTCACTAAGTCACATTTACAGGAAGTCTCACAACAAGCGGGAACACGGAGGTGCTCCGGGCGGATTTGTGTCCCATTTCATCCGTCTACCGCCCCTGACCCCACCCGGCCCTCCTGATGCCCCCAACCCGGTCCTCCTGATGCCCCCAACCCAGACCTCCTGATGCCCCCAACCCGGACCTCCTGATGCCCCCAACCCGGCCCTCCTGATGCCCCCAACCCGGCCGCTCGCCCCTGCTGGGGTCCACCACCATATGGTTTTCAGCCCTTCTGGCAGCCTGAAATAATCCGTCTTCCAGGATCCTGCATCACATCCCGAACCGGTCCAGAACTCCTGATCTGGTCCAGAACATCTGATCCAGCCGAGAACTTCTGATCCAGTCCAGAACTTCTGACCCGATCCAGAGCTCCTGACCCAGTCCAGACGTCCTGACCTGGTTCAGAACTCCTGATCCAGATTTTCTGATCCACTCCAGAACCCCTGACCCAGTCCAGAACTTCTGATCCAATCCAGAGCTCCTGACCCGGTTCAGATGTCCTGACCTGGTTCAGAACTCCTGATCCAGATTTTCTGACCCAGTCCAGAACATCTGATCCAGTCCAGAACATCTGATCCAGTCCAGAACTTCTGATCCGATCCAGAGCTCCTGACCCAGTCCAGATGTCCTGACCCGGTTCAGAAGTCCTGATCTGATCCAGAATTCCTGACCCAGTCCAGATGTCCTGACCCGGTTCAGATGTCCTGACCTGGTTCAGAACTCCTGATCCAGATTTTCTGACCCAGTCCAGAACATCTGATCCAGTCCAGAACTTCTGATCCGATCCAGAGCTCCTGACCCAGTCCAGATGTCCTGACCCGGTTCAGAAGTCCTGATCTGATCCAGAATTCCTGACCCAGTCCAGATGTCCTGACCCGGTTCAGAAGTCCTGATCTGATCCAGAATTCCTGACCCAGTCCAGACGTCCTGACCCGGTTCAGAAGTCCTGACCCAGTCCAGACGTCCTGACCCGGTTCAGATGTCCTGATCTGGTCCATAATTTCTGATCCGATCCAGAACTCCTGATCCTGTCTGCAGCTTCCTGAAGGACTTCTGTTCAAAGAAACAGGGAACGTGTTGGACCCTAAATGCATCACTGCTGGTCCCGTAGTGATTTTAGGGTTTTGTGGTGTTTGTTTACCGCGTCCTCCCGCCGCTCACACCTGTTCTCCCGAACATCAACCAGCCATCTGCTCTTCATTCCACCAACTGGTTGCACCTGTAGAAAAACACCTGTTTCCTCTGTCAGATGCTCCAGGTGCTTCTGTTCACTTCCAGGTGGGATCTGCCACCGCGGCACACGGATAGAAGAAATCCAGTCTTCTTCCTGACCTCTGACCTGGTTCAGATTCATGCAGAAGCTACTTTTATTGTCTGAAGTGTAAAAAAACAACAAAATTATATTTTTAATGAACTTTTCTCTGGACAATAATACAACTTCTGCTATATTTTATTATGTATTTTCATTTACTACATTAACAATAATAAAAATGGGCCACTTCTATCTGGTAGAAGATGCTAATCCAGATACACACACACACACACAGGAAGCAGGTTTCTGACCAGCTTTATTAAAGCTTTATTAAACTCGAACAGGAAACGAAAACACAAAATGATCCAACAGTTTTTCTTCAAGTTTTGCCATCGACAGCTTTTGAACGTTCACAGAGGCACGCCTGAGTGGGCAGTAGCCATGGAAACCAGTGGATGGGCATTCATGTATTTACCTAGACTTAATACACAGACGAGCTGTGCAATCAGCTGATGCGTCGGAGGCGGAGCTACAAGTCACCGACAGCCTCTGAGGAAGTTTGGCAAAGAGATGAGCTTCAAATAAAACGCCGTCACAAGATCTCTGTAAATGTCGTCAGCAGAAGAAACGAGTTCCAGTTTTCAGTTAAAAACAAAAATATAAACTCAGACAGAAGCAGAAATAAAAAACTGCTTCAGCTACCGGCCTGCATGCACGCCAGAGCAGCAGCATCCCATAATAACACAACTCACAGAGCTGTGGCCTCAAAAACATCAGCATCGAGTCCCAAAAGCAGATCAGCAACAACTAAAGCCCGGCGCTCCGACGACGTGCCTGATCCCGTTCAGTCCTTCCTGACAGGGAGCTCGTTCACATTCGTATCGGGAGAACCCGACTCGTTGGGCCGGGACGCGTCGAAGACTACGTTCTGAGAGAACCTGCAACATGACGAAACGTTTACGCTGAAGATGTACGAAGTTTTTGTTCTATTTTGTCTCAAAGTCTCTTAATTGGGTCTTAGTTTGTTGTCCTCCGCTATTGTCCCTCAGAGACACCAGGGCCATGTCCAGGAAGCTTCTGGACCAGAAAAAAAATCACTTCTGCTGTCGATGTGGAGGAGCTGCGGCTCTACACCGAGCTCCTCCCCTTTACTTAGCTCCTCCCCCTGTAGAGGAAACTCTTCTATCTCCTGAATCCAGAACTTCTCCTCATGCAGTGGTCCGCCTGTTGGTATCCCTCCTTCCCTTGCTCCTCAACATGACCCTCCATACTTAAACTCCTCCCCTTGAGGACCTCAGCTCTGAAACGGGAATCCACTCTTTTCCAGTTCATCCGTGTGGAAATCTCTCAAAGGGGCTTTTTTCCTTTTCTGCGAACAGGGAACACAGTCAGAGCTTCCTTAATGTGAATCAGTTTACACCCCAACCCCCGATCCGGTTTCATCTGAACCCACCGGGATCCCGAAGCCCTGAAACCCACAAGGAGAACCGAAGAACTCTGGAACGTTTTGGGATTGTTCCCACCAGTAGCATCTGCTCTTCGACTGAGGACACAAAAGGTCTTTAATGTTTCACCGAAGGTCTCTGGGTCCGTCTGAGGGTCCGGTCCGAGCCCAGGAGGTACGGATCCACTGAGACGTTTGTTTGGAGTCAGTCAGGTTCAGGAGCTCAGGATGTGAGAGCTTTGATTGGATGAAGCAGAATTAGAGCTCCAGCTGATGAGTTAATGGGTTCGGAGGCCGCTCGGATCTAAGGAATGATCGGAGCGGACCGATCCAGCTGATTGGACCAAACATTACATCAAACAGCTAAATGACACTGGTTCTGCTGAGTTCTGACCTTTCCCATCCTCTGTGTGTGTGTGTGTGTGTGGGGGGGGGGGGGCTGAGACACTAGTATTCTTGTCAAAGCCCGGCTCAGACGTCAGTACACAGCTGGAACCAGGACCAGTCCCTCAGAGCTGGTTCAGTGTTCTGGTCCAATAGGACCGGTTCTGATGCCAAATCCTGGGTCAGAATCTGAGTGGGTTCTGGTGGGTCCACAGCAGAACGTGTCTGAGTTGTTCTTCACAGGCATTTTCGTCCATGACTGAAGCTAACTCGTTAGGGATTAGCTCGACCAGCTGAGGGATTAAACCCTTATTCCCACGAGTCCTGGAAGAACTTGTGGGAAATTTTAGTTTGCAAATGGAAAAAGAAAAACCTGGAAACTCACAAGAAACGCATAAATGTTAGTTTTGTCTGAACTCCAGACGAATCCCTGCAGAGCATCACCGATGGAGCTAAAGGCTAACGGTTTGCTGCTTTGACGTTAGCATTAAAGACCAAGTTCACTTGTTCTTTCAACACATCTGCAGTGGTCTCTAGCACAAATGAATGCCTTGTGAGACGAGCTGTATGGGGGAAAAAAGCTCCGGTGCTCCTGTTTCAGGAAGTAGAAGTGAGCCAGAAGGGAGCTTTAGACGACAGGATCTGGAGTCTTACTTCCTGATATTCAGACGTCTCTCCTTTGATTGGCTAACAGCAACGCCACTCTACCACTGACTCTGTTTGCTCTGCATCGTTGATGTTTTATCTCGACAAATAACACAAGCCTGGAGGAGTTCTGCTGTGTGGTGGAGTTGCTAATGCTAACAGTTAGCTTCTACTAGCTGAGACCAAGCCCCCACAATGCGGGTGAAAAATTGAGGCCATCCCGGAAGTAAGAAAAATTGCAGTTCCACCCTCATCCACTAGGGGCTGGTGTCAGAAGCGAGCAAATCCTCATTGACTCCCATGTTAAAAATACCAATTTCACAGCAGAAATAAACATGTTTACAGCCTGTTTCCAAAACATTTTTTTGGTTTAAATGATCTAGTTTACACTCATGACAACTCTGAGGGGGGTGAATGTTTTTCTCACTCTTCTGTTTAAGTGTATTAAAAGCCTAAAATTCTGTATAATTAATGAGCATCAGACCCACGTGACCACAGAGCTAGCTCCGTGGAAAAGCCTCAGTAGAGCCTCGGCCTGGCCTGGAAACTGCTCCGGGATTTTGAGTCTGTGTGTGTGTGTATTCTTGTTTGGATATTTTTTGTGCGATTGTTGGACAAAATGACTTGCTGTGGCATTAATTGCACTAATAGAGCGTCCAAGGAGTCTCCACTTCATTTTTTTCGGTAAGTAAAATTATATTTATGTATTTTAGGTCACTGCCGAGCTGAGCTTAGATTTTAACATGTACTGTTTGACCATGAAATGTAAATGTAATAGGGTAAACCCCAGTGCATTTAACATAATGCTGCACTTTAGAAAATGGGTTGAAATATAACATGTTGGTGGAGCTGGGTTCCCACTATCGGCTTGTGGAGCTCTCGGGAGACCGATGTTTTCCACCCGGTTCTGCCCTCCCTGCAGCTCGGCGCATCTCTGTCTGATCGCGGCGCTTGTCTGCTGTGCGGCTGCCGGCTTGAGGAGGTCTCGGAGACCTCTGTGTTCCACCCGGTTTTACCCAGCGGTCAGCCCGGCGTATCTCTGACTCAGAAGCTCTGGTGTTGTGCACAGTTAACTCCAGTTGTAGCTAGGTTGCTACCTCCGTTAGCTTAGCTCCCACCTCCGCGTTAGCTTTGGGTTAGCTTGTAGCTAGTTCGACCGGGTGTCGTCAGTTGATCCCAGCCTTACAGCCCCACCCTCAGCTCCACCTCTCTTCCCTTTTATGGAATTGTCTGGCCTTGACGGAACCTGTGACACGGTCAAAATGGCGGTGGTGGCCACCTCCCATTTTTCTTCAAAAACTTGTTTTTGGACTCTATGGAAACCCATTGTCCAATATTTATATGTCGATGGCTGGGACGTCAGTTTTTAAGACAACATATAAAGAAACAAAGATAAATGAACAGGGGCCTGTTTCTTTCTTCCTTCACTGAATATATTTATCATTATTCTGCTTTTCAGTGAAAATGGATCGGATCTGACTCCATTAAGGGAATTTTTCAGAAAAATAATAGAAAAGGAAAATGTTGTTTGGAGTCTGCTGCTCTGAGGTGACGCACAACGGTTTTCCAACAGGTTGCATCAGAATATGGACTCAGCCTGAAGAAGCAAAAATCCAGCTTAGACCACCTCAGACAGTAAAACAGACGGGAAATCCACTTCCTGTCCCTGAACCCACGTGCCACAGCAGAACACACACCAGTGTGTGTGTGTGTGTGTGTGTCTACAGCACCACCTAATCCAGTCTGGCCTAGATTAGCCACCAAGGTTCTACAGCGCTGCTGACGGAACGGGCCTGGGAGAGCCTGTAGTAATCTGTTAATCTCATTAATGCCATGGATCTGTGTGTGTGTGTGTGTGTGTGTGTGTGTGTGTGTGTGTGTGTGTGTGTGTGTGTGTGTGTGTGTGCGCGCGGACGCGCTCTGGAAACAATGGAAGTAGTAAACAGCTGATGATCTCGGCTGCCTTCCAGCACAGAACCAACAGACCCACCAGAACCCTTCAGATTTGTGAACAGAAGTCTGAGTGACCCGGGAGGCTCGGCGGGTTCTGGGTTTGGGTCGGCTCCACAGCAGGAATCCCACCTGGACCCATCAGTTTCAGGCTCAATCAGCAAAGAACCTCCAACAGAACCTTCAAATCTGGGCTGAGGAAACGCGGGCTGACCTTTAAATGTGCAGCTGGGACGATCAGTACCAGATCCAGGGGGTCCGGTGGCACCGCATGGGCCCCCCTACTGTGAACCTGCAGAGAAGTTCTGTGGATGTGAGTGGAGGAGCAGAAAGGTGTGTGTATCTGAGTTTGTTCCAGAGGTCAGCAGAACCGGCGCTGACCCAACTCTCACCGATCCAGAACCCGGCTGTAGTCCTGAGGCCCACAGCCGCCTTCGCTCTTGAGCTCGGCGAAGACCTGAGTGAAAAAGTGCGGGTTGGCGTTGATGCGCAGCATCTTGGAGCTGGTGGCGTTGATGATGGCGAGGCAGCGGTCCCAGAAGGCCTCCTTCCCCGCCTCCACCAGGAAGGGCTTGAGTGGGTAGGAGATCTCGTTGCCCATGTAGGAGTAGGACAGGTAGAGACAGGTGAGCAGAATGGCCTGCAGCTCGTGCTCCGACGCCACCAGGTCTCCGTCCACCACGTCCCGACACAGCATGTAGACGAAGACCACGTTGGCGGGTGTGACGAAGGCCTGGTCCTGCCAGCCCTGCAGCAGGAGCGAGCGGTCCACGGCCCGAAGCCAGAGGACCGGGTCAGCCGGGGACAGGAGCTTCAGGCGGTAGCAGCGGCAGCACAGGAACTCCCCGAGACAGCGCAGGAGCTCGCTGGTGGACGCCTGGACGATGACTCGCTTTGGAGACGAGGATCCCTGAGGAACCTTCTTCACGGAGGACAGCTGATGGGGTTTGCTGTAGCCGTGTCCGTGTCCCATCCCATATCCGTAGCCCAGACCCAGTCCTGCTGGGCCCTCATAGCTGGACAGGTTGGCACAAGACACGGACTTCTTCACATTCTCGCGGTTCAGATGCAGGACTCGGTCCTTCTGGTAGATGTTGTTGTTGTTTAGGGGGTCTCCGAGGGCCCCGGCCCCGCCAGGCCCCCTCTTAGCGGTCCCTTTCTTCTTAGTGGAGGCGAACAGCCGCTTCCAGGTGAGCGCTGGCAGGAAGATGGACTGGCTCCTCTTCAGAGTCCGGTCCTTCTGGCTGTTCAGGGAGCGGCTGCTGAGGCTGGGGTAGTGGCTGAGGGAGCCGGGGTGGTTGTCATAGTAACCGGGTTTCCGAGGTCCCGGTGAGAGTGACAGCACCGTTCCCATGGTGGCCAATCAGAACTCCTCACTGGTTTCTGTGGTTCTCAGCATCCAGGTGTGCATGTCCAGGTGAGCTGAAGGAGCAGACACAAGATCAGCAGAGGTCCAGAACCAGATGAGACCTGATCTAAAGGATGTTCTGGTCCAGGTGTCTCGCCTCCGAGCTGCTCACCTGCGTCTCTGAGTCCGGTTCCCGCCCTAGTCCGTGATGGAGTTGTGGAGATTTCTGCCGGTACCGAGAGCCGGAGCGCAACAAACGCGCTGATTGTGTCTCTGCTGCCGGTATCAGGCGGTACCGGGACGCGGCACGAGCGCTGAGTGGGTTGGATCAGAGGACAGAAGCTGATTGTGAGGAACGGCTCATCCTCCTGGACCCGGTACCGGGCGAGACTTCGTCCTGGATTCGGATCCGCGTTCCGGAACTTTCTTTCAGTTCTTTCGCGTCCTCTCCAACACTCCCGAGTCTCCTCCGAACTTCCCCCGGTACCGGTTCTGGACTCAGCTGGAGGTGTGCGCTCACAGAGAGCCTCAGCGGCGGACTGACCGGAGCTCGGTCCCGCGCTGCAGCCCGACCTATGCGGGCGCGCGCCGCGCGTCTCCGCAACGAGCACGCGGCGTCTCAGCTGCTGCCTCATGCACGTGCACAGTCAGACATAAAGACACTATAATAAAATGATTTCATTCATTTTTAAAACAGTCATAAAAAATAAATTAAACTTTGATTTTTCAGAATAAAACTAAATGAGCTGAATAAAAAAGTAGAAATCAAAGAAACACAAATCAGCTGATTTGAAGAAATAAGTTTAATTTCTTGTGTTTGTCTGGATGTTTCCGCTGATTTATGATTTTGTTTGTTAAAAAATAATTCAGTAGAAAATTTTCATGAGTTTGGATTAAAAACAGGAAACATCAAAACAGAGGAGATGAAACCAGGCGAGTTCCGGTTTCCCCGCAGAACCAGGCGGGATGATGATGATGATGAAGAGGAGGATTAGTGCAGGTTTGAGTCACGTGGTCTCCCGCTGTGTAACGGTGGCTGTAGCTCAGAGGATCCGGTCCAACAGGTGATTGAAATGATCCATCGCTTCTGAGGAGCAGGTCCGGAGCATACAGGTGTGTGCTGCTCAGCAGTCTGGGAGAGGTCAAAGGTCATTCACAAACTGTCTGCAGCCTGTCATTCTGCTAAAGGGAAGGTAGCAGCCAAAGGTTAAAGGTCACAGCAGCTCAGTGATGGTTACCCATAATGCACTGCAGCAGCCCCAGCACAGTGGTGGAGGGGCAATGTTTTGGGCTGGTTCTGACCCAACAAGACTCTTTCGGTCCTCGTCTGATATGAGTCCACCTGTCTGAAGATTAGACTGGACTGGGTCATGAAGCAGAACCACAATCCAGCAGCAGGTCCGACAAGATGCTGCAGAAGGCCGGTTCAGGCCAGACAGAAACCTGAGAGTGAGATGTTGTAGCGGGACCTTCAGAGAGCCAAAGAGCAGATTCAGAACTGCTCCAGAACCGCGAGACCCTTCCGACAACGTTCCTGCTGCTGGAGGAGGTTCTGTTGGATCATCAGGTGGAACCTGCAGAGCAGAAACCAGACGTTTACCAACCTGTAGTGATGGAAGAGGACAGAGCAGTTGACGCGTGGGGTGAAATAAAATGTTGTTCTTTTATTTTCTTACAGCTCCATCTGACATTTGTTCCCATAGTCAACCAGTTCTTTCTGTAAACTCCAACATAATCTAACCTGCTTCAGCACGGCCCAAACCTGTTCGCCCCGGCTCCGTCCAGCCCACCTGCGTCCACGTGCACCATGATTAAAGAGGTGGAGACAGACTTGTTCAAAAGTTCAGTGGGTTTGCCTCCATCTAGTGTCTGCTGGAGGCAAACCCGTTCAGGAGAAGAGATTAACCTCCCTGAAACGTTAGCGTTGTGATTTGCAGGAAACTAGAAGATAAAGGTAGCTAACTTCCCCGAGAAGACAGAACGAATTCAGGAAAAAGGAGATTAAAACGAGGAGATCAGAGATCAAAGCTTCCAGGAAAAACCAGAAGAACAAGCGGAGCTGCAAGTGGAGTTTGTGAGTTCAGGTCAGGCTTGATCTAATCGGCTAGTAGCTAACTAGAGGCTTACCAGTGACTAACCAGCTGGTTGTTAACCAGCTGTTAACCAGCTGACAGCAATCCAGGAACATTCAGAGGCAAAAACATCATCAGCCTTTCAGCAGTGGACCTCAGTTCTGTTCAGTGAAGTCCTGTTCTAATGTCAGAGGAGACAGCTGACTGGTGTCTGACCACACACACACACACACACACACACACACACACACACACACACGTGCCTCCATCCTCATTTTCCCCAGCAGCTGCAGGCCTCAGAGCATCTCCTGCACAGCTGACCCGGATACACGACAGCTATGAAAAGAGTTGTTGTTGACCCCCCCCCCCCCCCCCCCCACACACACACACACACACAGGAGACGCTAATCTATGTGTCATCCTAATCCCAGAGATTAAAGGTCGACTCCAGCAGAAGTTCTGCAGAGCCTGAAATCTTCACACGGATATAAAAGCGGACTCTGTTCTGATCAGTTTGGGTTTCCTCTCGCTCCGACCCGGATCTCTGACGGAACCGGGATCTCTCCCAAAAGTTCCAAAACAGCTACTTTTCTGGTTCAGCTGCTGGATTCTGTTTTTATATGTTTTAACGTCATAAACACGAGTTTTAAGTTCTCCTCTGGGATCTAATCAGATAAATATTTGTGGTTTTTTTTGTCCACATCATCCAGAGAAGCTGAAGCTGGTCTGCCTCCTGGTGACGGTTTCATGGTGAACCCGTCACCACGACTCGTTTCAGTCAAAATATTATTATTATGATTTTAGTTGAACAAGCCTGAACATAAACAACACTGTTTGTGATGCCGATGCTGCTTTGCTGTGTAGTTTTTATGTATTTTACTATAAAAACAGATTTTATAAACATGGAGGAAGGCTGATGCTGCTTTATTGCATCTTCAGTCATGAGAGGAAAGATGAGACGTCACAGCCAAGTGGGTGAAAATCAGGACGCAGACAGATCGGAAGGACAGAAATGAGAAAACTGGGACTGAGACAATCAGCAGGATGCTGACAGACAGAGTAATCTCAGCTGGGATGCTGCTGGAGGCCGACCGCTTCACCTTGTGACACATCTGCCGCTCTGACTCATCCAGATGCCGTAATCTCAGACAGCACACAGGGATTAACGCTTGTTTCAGGCCACTTTCAGGCTTCCACACCTGCCTTCACCTGTTTCTGTCTCTATTTGATCCACAAACATGTGAAACAGAGGATCAAAGCAGCAGAAATCAGGAATCTTCTCTGTCCAGAACACAAAAAGACCTGAAACCATCACGTTTAACTAATCTGATCAGAAGCTGTGCAGCTGAAGACGCTTTTAACCTCTTCACAAGGATGTTTTAGTCTGATCCAGTCACGTGACCAACGCAGACGTCTGGGTTCTGTCTGGCTCTGCTGTGGTGATGCTGCCCTCTGCTGGACAAACTGTTGCTGTTAAAAATAAAAATAAAAGACTTGAAAGATGTTTAAATCTGCTCAAGAACAAATTTTATTATTTATTTATTAATCGTTGACTTTAATAAAAATAACTAAATATTTCTTTTATTGTTTTATTTTAGAAAAGGATCTGTAGACATGCTGTCTGCTTCTTGTTCAGCACTTTAGGCAACAGGAGCAAAAGGTCATCATGTAAACAATGAGACTGTGCGTCATCAGTGCAAAAGCATGTTTCTGGCTTTGAAGTTTGCAAATAAGTTTGGTCTATTATTAATTTGACGGTAAATTAGAATCAAGGTTTGATGCTCAGTTGAAGAAACAAGAGAAAAAAGTTTTATAATTTGACCAAATCAGAAGGAAACTCCAGAGGAAATAAGTAAAGGTGAAAAAAGACCAAAATGAGGACACAGTAGGAAAAATTGCAAATACATAAATAACCGAGTGATTATTTTAAAATTATAATATTAAATCAAAGATATTTAATATTTTAGATAAAAACGAAAATAAAACAAATTTGAGAATTTATTTTGATTAACGCTGGATTTCTAACTGGAAACATTTAAACATCAATTAAATTATAATTTTTTTTTTCTGAACGAAAACAATCCCATCCAAGATGGCGGCCGAATGTCTATGTCAGTGGGCGTGGCCTGTAGAAAGCGCGTGCAGCGGTTAGATGCTAGCTAGCTCACCTGTGAAACACGAACTAAAACTAATGTAATAATAGCCCAAAGTTTTAGAGGTTAAAGAGCGGTAAATAATAAATTCATATCGAATTCATCCGCTCATCTACTCGCTTACAGCAGCGGCAGTGAAACGTTCAGGTAAAAGTCTTTTGCTATTTGTTAGCTAACTTTGCTAACCGTAGTTAATCAGGAACACGTTCTCGTGTTTATAGGCTTAATAAAAATGAATAATTACTGGTTGGTTAGCTAAAACTAAAGCTAAACTAAAAAACGGCTAAACTGCAGGTTTGTTAGCTGAATATGAAGCTAAATGACACATTTTTGGCTCAATAGTCCCTCTTCTGGACCTGTTTACATTCGCTTCTAAACATTTGAAGCTGGTTGGATTTCTTCACTCTATTCTTCTTTACAAAAGTCGACTGTTTAAAGTCAAAATGCTCACGTGAATATTAATATTTAAAGCTATAAGCTGTGTCTCAGGTGGAGCCACAAACTGCTAGCCGTGCTAATTAGCCTGATTTTCTCTCAGCAGCTGCGCTGATTTTAATCTTTTGACTCTAAACGCAGAGCTGCTTCTGACGGGTGAAATAATGAAGCTCAAAGGGCAATTAATGAAAGGGATGAGCCAGAGTTAGCTCTGTGAAGCTGACCCCCGTCAGCTTCAAAAGTGGAGGCAAATAGGCTGCTCGGTTAGTGCTTCGTTTGTGCTGATTTGTGCAGGTGAAACTGACGTTTGTGCTGCTATGGTTTCTGAGATATATGCTTGACAACGTTTTTTTCAAATGCCATGTGTGCCTTTTATTTGTAAATGAGTTCAACAAAGTTTTGCAAGAAAACCTGTCTCCTTTATGTTTTTAAATAATCTTTATTTGTTGAACATATACAGTAGTAATCAAAGTTACTTTTACAAATATTTTTCTTTCATCAATATGAGATATCATTAAAAAATTATAAGTACACCACTAGGATTTAAACACCCACCACCAATCTCCAAGGGCTACCCTTCCTAACCACTGTCCCACAGACCCTGCTGCAAATACCAGTACAAGGGCAAAGCATAGCACAAAGAAAACCTCTTTTATTTAAAATTGTTTTACTTTATTGTGAACAGAACAATCATCATTTACATCAATGTCTTTCCACAAACGAACAAGCTAGCAGTGTTGCCATCAATACA